CATGCCTGATCAGCTTGCAGCCAAGACACAGGCCCAGCAAGGCCCAGTGGGCCATAGGGCAGGCCCAGTGGGATGTGACCTGTGGGAGAATAAATGACAAATCTCAGATGGTCTTGAAGTGAGAAATTGAGAGCCTGTGTACCTTACTCATGTGAAATCAAGGGCAATATAAACCCTTGGGACAGAGAGAGGTTTCGAGGGTGAGTGTGTTTGATTCAATGGGGTCAGAGAGTCAGGGATATTTAAATGGTCCTATCACAAGAAGGAAAATTGAGTACGGGGGTGGGGGAGGGAAGAATCTCAAAGTATAATTGAAGGTTGATGCTGGAGTGAGATCCTTAGCAGGGTGGGCCATCTCTAAGAATTCCTAGATGCTTGCTTATCAGGGAAGGGTCTGGCCTGTAACCTGCCCTGACATTTATGTGACACTCCTTACAAGACCTTAGGTTGCCCAGATCAAGGAAGACTTTACAGAACTGTGCTAAGAAAAAGGTCTATCGTCATAGACCAAACTCAAATGACTGGCTGCCTGGAGATGACTTCAACCTTATCCAGCAGAGTCCCACAGTCATGTAGTTTGTTTCTTTCTCTTTCTTTTCTCTCTTTCTTTTTCTTTCTTTCTCTTTCTTTCTTTCTTTCTTTCTTTCTTTCTTTCTTTCTTTCTTTCTTTCTTTCCTTTCTTTGTGTGACCTCAGTATTACATTCTAAGTCCCCCTGTTTTTCAGTATATTTTTTTGTGGTTGCATTTTCCTTAAGAGATGACCAGGATCCCATTTTATTTACACACACACACACACACACACACACACACACACACACACACACAATTCTTCTGTTGATGGACATCTAGGTTTATTGCAGTTCTTTGCTGAGGTGAATAAAGCATCAATAAACATGAGGGTGCAAATACCTCCATCTTAAAGTATAGAGCTCTCTAGGTGTGCGTATGTGGTGGTGTGTGTGTATATATGTAAATATATATATATGTATGTATATAAGTATGTGTGTGCATGTGCGCCCAGGAGAAAACAGCTGGGTCTTATAGTAGTTATTTATTTATTTATCTACCAATTTATGTATTTATTTATTTATTTATTTTAGGAATTTCCAGCTTGATTTCCACAATGGCTATGTTAATTTGCACCCCCAACAGTGAATGAGTTTTCTCCATATCCTCGTCAACATTTATTGTTAGATTTGTTGGTGATAGTCATTTTGACTGGGATGAGGAGATACCTCAAAATTGTTTTGATGTTGTTTTTTTGTTTGTTGGTTTTGGTGTTTTGAGACAGGGTGGTTACTCTGAATAACTCTGTCCTGGAACTCCCAGTGATCTGCTGCCTCTGCCTCTGCCTCTGAGAGCTGAGGATAAAGGTGTGCATTCAGCTCAATACTTGATTAGAGACAGGGTCTTAGTATGTACCCCAAGCTGGCCTAGAACAGGCAGAAACCCTGCTTTAGGTTCCCATGTTTATATTTGATTCTTTTGACACAGTTCTCTTATCCCCCCCACACACACAGACACACATACTTTTTTTTGGGGGAGGGGGGGTGTGTTCGCTCACATGGACTTGAACTTGTACTTGAACATGTGGAGGCCCAAGGTTGATCTTGGAATTATCCTCAGTTGCTTTTCCACAATATGCATGGAGGCAGAGTCAGTCAAATCTGGAGCTGATTGATAAGGCCGGTCTCCATAGCTAGTTTGTTTGGGGGCTTCCCTTATCTCTCTCCTCTGAGGTTAGAGTCTAGGCAGGTCACCATGCTTGCCCAGCGTTTACTTGGGTTCTGGAGATCTTGATGCTGATCCTCACACTCTATGACAGTATTAATTATGATACATCCCTCCAGGCTTCCCTGGAAATAGTTCTGTGAGGGATGGCCCTGTGGTTTTTTAAATCAGTAGCCTGTACTGAGCTTCATTTTGTTTTGTCTGAGTCAGGGTCTCACTATGTAGCCTTGGCTGGCTTGAAACTGGCTCCATAGACCAGGCTGGTCTTAAACTTAGAGAGATCTGCTGCTGTCTCTGCAGTTCTGGGATTAAAGGCATGAACCACCATACCCACCTGAACTTTCTTTTACATATGTTGTTTACTTATTTTTTTTTTGTTTTATTTTATGTATATTGAGCGTTTTGCATGTATGTATGTGTGCCACATGCGTGTCTGGTATCCACAAAAATCAAAAGAGGGTATCAGATCTCCTGAAACTGGCATTAATGGATGCTTGTGAGCCACCATGGCGGTACTGAGAATTAAACCCAAGTCCTCTGTAAGAACAACAAGTTCTTTTAAACACTGAGCCATCTCTTCAGCCCTCTGTGCTGAAATTTTTTTATGTTCTGTTATTTTTTTCTGTAGACATGTGTCCAAAAAATGCTAGCTACTATGGCAATCGGGCAGCCACCTTGATGATGCTTGGACGGTTCCGGGAAGCTCTTGCAGATGCACAGCAGTCAGTGAGATTGGATGACAGTTTTGTCCGGGTATGTAATATGGCTCTTCGGTGAAGGCCATGTGTCTGCAGTTGTGTTCCTCTAGCCCAGGGTTTCCCAGCCCTACTGCTCATTCTTTAGGCTACTGTCCAGAGCAGTGCAGAATGTTCCTCAGTGTCTCTGCTAACCATTAGGAACACTTCCTCTTTTCACTGTGATGACAGCCATAGCCAACCTAATTGTGGCAAGTATCCCCTGAAGAGCAAGTGCTCCCGTTGAGAACCACTGCCCCAGCCTTTTCCTCCGTGTTGGTTGATGGAGTGATTGCTCTTGGTGTTCTGATTTCTTTCTACTTGTACAGTCATAGTTCTTCCCTTCCCTCTGTGTTCTTTGTTTTAGGGACATCTCCGAGAAGGCAAGTGCCACCTGTCACTTGGGAATGCAATGGCAGCATGTCGAAGTTTCCAAAGAGCCCTAGAATTGGATCATAAAAATGCCCAGGCACAGCAAGAGGTGGGTGTGACCAGCAGAGTCAGAGTGGAGTGTGGTGCATATGGAAGGGACAGTGGCCCAAAAGGCGGGCCCACAGTCCTGCTTCAGCATCGGCTGCACTTAGCTGACTTTAGGCAAAGCTCGGTCTCTAAGACTGTTTCCTTTCTGTTGAATGGGCTTTCCGTCTGTACAAAGTGGAAAGTTTCTGAAATGACTGGGCATTCGAATAGGCAGATGCTTTCAAGGAACTGAGTTGAGTAACGTTAAAGCATTTGTGTCAATTCAAGGCTGGGATGTAGCTCAGTTATAGAGCACTTGTCTACCATGTTCTGAGTCTGGCCTTCAGACTTCAGTTCTGTCAAAAAGAATTGCCACATGTTCAAATCCGGCATAAGTTGGTAGCACACATCTTTCAGTTCCATTTCATGTACTTGATGCCTGGATGCATTTTAGTGACCATTTCAAAACTGCGCAACCCTGGCGTGCATTGTCTGTATTTTGTGTAACTCATTATATGACTCCTGTAGTCCTGACAAGAAGCTCCAAATTAAATGTAAAATGTGGGCCTTGCCCTTTTCTATTTTCTTTTTAAAGGTAGGGAGGGTCTGGGGGAGTGTAGTCCAGTGGGCAGAATGCTTGCCTAGCATGGGTGAGGCCCTAGGTTCAAACTCCATTCTCAGTAAAACCATACGTGGTGGTACACACTTTGGGATCTCAGCACTTAGGCAATCGAATCTGAAGTTCCAGCTCAGGACCCTCTGCAGTTACACAACAAGTTTAAGGCTGGCCCAGGCCACATGCGACCATGTTCTCAGATAAAAGCATCATGTCTCCATGTAGCCCAGGCTACCTAGCCTCATCTTTCAAAGTGCTAGGAAAGTCTGTTGTCACCAACTTTTTTAGGATACTTAATTCTAATTTTCCTTTTTTTTTTCTCTTCAGGACAGGGTTTCTCTATGTAGTTCTTGGCTGTCCTGGAACTCTCTCTGTAGACCAGGCTTAAGTCTGTGTGTACATGTTCTTGTTTGAATGACGGCAAGCTTGCACTGGTTGTGTCAGTCATGCTGGAGGTCGGGGTCGTTGCCTTATGGTCAGTTCTCACCTTCTACCTTGTTAAAACAGTGTCTCTAGTTTTTGTCTTTGAGGCGAGTTCTCACCATGTATGCCTGACTGACCTACGACTGTATAGACCAGGCTGCCCTTTGCCTCTCAAGGGTTGGGATTAAAGTGGGTACTACCATGCCCAGCAAGACGGGGTCTCCTGCTTGCTTGCTATGTACTTACTCCTGGCTAGCTGACACTCCATCTACTGGGAATTCTGCTGTCCCCACCTTCATCTTGCCATAGCAATACTGGGTTTACATATGCACACAGTCTGGTTTAATATAGATTCTAGGATTTGATCTCAGGTCTTCACATTTGCATGGCAAGTGTTAACACTACGTCATCTCCCGAACCTTGTTTTTGTGTGTGTGTGTGTGTGTGTGTGTGTGTGTGTGTTACCTATTTTTTATATTTACTATATAGTACACTCATATACTCTCAATAAAGGGCAATAAAATCCCCTGAAGCTGGAATTACAAGTTTAAGGTGCCCCACATGGGTGCTGGGACTAAATTCAGTACTATGGAAGAATGGCAAGAATCCTTAACCAACACTGAGCCATCTCTCCTGTGTCCTGCTCCATCGTCATCCCCTCCTTCCTGTAACTAGATTCTGAAGCAGGGTCTCTCTGTATCTCAAGCTATCCAATTCATTGTGTAATCTAGGCTAACCTCAAACTTGCTATTCTCCTGCCTCAGCCTCCTAAGTGCAAGTGTTACAGACATGGACCACCATACCTCGCTCTTTGATGTGACTTTTTTTCACCCTTTCTTTCTTGAGATAGGGTTTACTGTGTAGCTTTGGCTGACCTCACATGTACAGAAATCTACCTAATCTTTCTTTCAAGCTGTCACCATGCTTAGCTTCAGTGATTTATGAAAGTTGTTGAGACAGTGTCACTATATCTCTGGCTGTTCTGGAACTCGCTATGTAGACTAGGCCGGCCTCAAACTCAAGAAATCTTCCTGCTTCTACCTCCTCAGTGGTGGGATTACAGGTGTGTGTCACCACACCTGTCCTCAGTGATACTTTTGAAAGAACAAATTCATCAAGGTTTTCATGCCTTTTGTGATTATTCAACCTAAACTTCATATTTCTTTCTCTGGTATAGTTCAAGAATGCCAATGCAGTCATGGAGTATGAGAAAATAGCAGAAGTGGATTTTGAAAAGCGAGACTTCCGGAAGGTAATGTAGAAGTGACTAGAGCCTCCCTTCCTCATGCTGTGATAATACAGAAAATTGAGAGTAGCACATTGTCATTCGAACTCGGTCTTTGACTTTTCTCTCTTAAAAGTACTTTTTGCAGCCTGATGTGGTGGCACACGCCTCTGATCCCAGCATTTGGGAAGGCCGTCAGGCAGATATCTGAGTCTGAGGCCAGCCTGGTCTACAGAGTGAGTCCAGGACAGCCAAGGCTATACAGAGAAACCTTGTTGGGGCAGAGGCAGGGGAGGACTTTTTGCTAAGTTGCTTATTTTCTTAATTATATTTGGCTTTTCCATAAAAAAGCAAAAATCAGCTTGCTTATTAACCCTTGGTTTGTCAGGCAAATATCTCAGAACTGTACTAATTAATGAAGGAAAAGCCCAGTTGGAAATAAATACAGGGGTTGAATAACCCACCTTCATCTGATTATGAGGTTAAACTTTTGCTATATGTAAGAGTAGGGGAAACCCTTGTTTACATTTTTAGAGCGTGCGTACCACCATCTTTCTGCAGCCTTCTGCCAGCCTCGGCCTCAGAAGCAGAAAGATTACAGCCTGAGCCTGATGTTATTCTGGGTCTTGCTGTGCAGTTCTGGCTGGCCTGAAGCTGTCAATCCTCTTGGTCCTGCTGTACCCACCTTGGCGTTAGACTTTAGTAAATTTTAGAGTGTGTGGCAGTTTTTGACAATCTACATGTTAAAGGGACTGATGTATCTGAAACGGGGAACAAGCATGAAAGCTCTAGGATCTTTCTAGACGGTCTACTTGGTGTTAAACCCTAAGTATAGATCCCCCATTTCTTAGATGGTGGTGAGAACTGGCTTTCACTAAGGAATCAAAGCAGGAAGTAGGCTAGCAGAGATCAAAAATCCTAATCGGGGATTTTTTTTTTTTTTTGGTTCCCTTTGATAAAGTGTTTCAGTCCAAGAGTGGGAGTTGTTGCATCATATATAGGAATTTGCTCAGGGCTTTCAGTAGTAGGTGTTCAGCAAATGTCTTTAGAAACAGGTAAGCATCCTTCTTCACTCTTGTACTGTGAAGGCTCTTATTTGGCAATAAGTGTATCTCACTAGCTTCTGCAGAATCCCAACATTAATGTCATCCTTCTGTCCGTTGGTTTTGGTAATCATAGTGTCTTTGTGATTTGGTTCATGCGTGTGTGTGTGTGTGTGTGTGTGTGTGTGTGTGTGTGTGTGTGTGCGCGCGCGTACGCACATATATTTGGAGAGCAGTTCTAACTACTGTCACGTTTTTTGTTTTTTTTTTTCTGAGGCTCACATAGGCAAAAGCTTTGTCTTGAAAAGCAGTCTTTTGGGTTTCTTTTCTCTCTTCCCCACTCTGGAGCCAGAACCCTGAGTTTGTGACAGAGTCCTCTGTTTCTAACACCCCAGCCCCCCCACTGTAGCTAATGGTGATGTCACAAATGAAGGATTATGATCCTGGCAGGGGAAGCAGATGAACTTGGAAGGAACAAAGATCTTCTTTGCCTGCAGCTGTCCCTACTGGGGACACGATGGGGGGTGGGAAGTGTAGCACGGAGCCTCCAGCCGATGCTCCTCTCGATGAGCAGGGCTGGCTCCGTATAGAACGTTGTCCTTGTGCGGCCAGAGGGTGTGGCTGCTGAAATGGTGGCTAGCTTTTTCCTCCCCTTCTCATTCTTTCTCCATATGAAGAAATCGGCACTCCAGCTCCTCCTACATGATACCTCAGTTGTCAGTACTGTCCTTGGAACTTCCAGTGACCTGCGCCACCAAGGGAGTGCCATCTTGTCACTTCTGTGTTGGCAGCACAAAAAGTATCGGTGAACATCCTGGTGCTTACTTTCTTGCTTGTGGGCTTTTCTCTTTTGAGACAGGGTCGGTGTAGCACTGACTGTTCTGGAATTATGTAGACCAGGCTGGCCTTGAACTCAGAGATCTGCTTGCCACAGCAACCATCTGTTTTTTATCTCAATTTTTGAATAGGTCTTCATGCTGCAAAAGCTAAAAAGTATGAAAAAAAATTCGTAATGAGTGTCCCTTCAAACAGGCCCTCTCCTCTACTTTTTACTCTTCTCGCTCTGCTCCCAATCCCCAGGCATGCTAGGCAAGAGCTCTGCCTCTGAGCTGTGTTCCAGCTCCTTTCCACTGCTGGTGTAGCTTCCACCTTGTACCGTGTTGTATGTACATCAAACACAGATATTTAATTTTGGAAGAATTTTCACAGTAGTACATGAACATTTCTATTTTAGTGTTACGGAGTATGCCATTATATCAGTCTACACTGATGAAGGTTATTTTTCCTTGCTTTTAGAATTCATATTCAGAGTCTTAGAGGAAGGGGTTGTCCCTTAATTTCAGATTTCTCCTTTGGTCCATAATTCTTAGGGAGAATGTGATTTAGTGAGGATATGCCAGAAATAGCAGCTAAATAAGAAATGAAAGTTCAGAGAACAAAGTTGTGAGAAAAAGAAAGGAATTCATGGAAACCCATGTTTGACTGAAAGAGTGAACTCACTGCAGCTTTGGTAGGTATGTGTGAGTCACTGGGCTTGGGATTTACATGTAGCAGCCTGGTGGGAGTGGGAGTGTGACAGCCATGAGAACCCTTTTAGATGGGCTTTTTCACTGCAGTGAGTGTGCCAACTCAGTAGTAAGATGTGAAAGTCGATGGATGGGGTAGCACATTGCTGTAATCCCAGCACCCAGGAGGCAGAAAGCATGGAAATCTCTGTGAATTCAAAGCCAGCCTGGACTACATGGTGAGTTACAGGCCATCTACACAGTAAAACTTTTGTGTTTTTTTTTTTTTTTAATGTTTTCCAAAAATGTATTTATGTGTATGAATGTTTTGCCTCCATGTATGTCTGTGCGCTGTATGCATGCCTGGAACCCATATGGGCCAGAAGAGAGCGTTGGATCCCTTGGGACTGAAGTTATAGACAGTTGTGAGCCACCATGTGGGTTCTGTCTTCTGGAAGAACAGCCAGTTCTCTCTTGGTTAAGTGCTCATAACTGCTGAGCTCTCTCTCCAGGCTCATCTCCTTCCTCCTATCTTTTAAGTATGTGAAGCTGTTGTCACAGGAAAAGAAGAAACAGCAGTTTCTGTAATGTGTGCAGCACTGATTCTGTGCCAGGTGATTTTTGCCATTCTTGTGTCAGTTAACAGGTTAAGCCTAACAAATAATGAAAGTAGTAACTAACAGTGTTTGCAGAAAGAATACGAGTGTTGATCAGAGTCACTGTGGCTTCACCATGGAGGCTGCTTACTTGGTTAAGGTTAGAGGCTCAAAAGTCTATATTTAAGATGGAACTTGGGTGGCCGAGAGCCTTGCTTGGCTCTCTATTCCGTAGTCTTCTCATCACTGAAATAAAGGTAATGCTGTCATTAAAAAGGTAACTAATTCCGTGTGCTGATTACTTTGTGTTACTGTCATCAGGACTCTGCTGTTCTCATCTCAGGGTTTGTGTTAAATGAATGTGTATAAACTTTGATATTCTTACCAGTGAGCAGTGAGCCTAGGTAATGTCTCCGAGCTTTGAGTCAGTCTGTTGTGACCAAACTCAAGTGAAGACATTGCTGGCTTACCTGCTTTTCTCTTCCCTTAGGTTGTTTTCTGCATGGACCGTGCCCTGGAGTTTGCCCCTGCCTGCCATCGCTTCAAAATCCTCAAAGCAGAATGTTTAGCAATGCTGGGCCGATACCCAGAAGCACAGTTTGTGGCCAGGTATGCAGCCTGGCCTGTTCATCACTGAGGTGCGGAGTAGACTGCAGGGTGCTGGCGTGCTGCTCTCTACATGGGAGCTGTGAGTGGATCAGCGTTGCTTGGGCTTTCCTGGAGCTTAAAGCCAAAGGGTAAACCACATTAGTTCCAAGACCCACAAGGTAGGGTGTGGTGGTGTGGCAGGTGCTCGAGCAGTACGTGAAAGAACTTAATGAGTATGTGAGTTTGATGTAACCCTTATTTTCACACACACACCTAGACAAAAAGACAACTCTTTGGGAGTTGGTTTTCTTCGTCCACCCTGTGGAAGGTTTTGGCGGTTGAATTTAGGTGGTCAGGCTTGGCAGCAGATGCTCTTTGCCAGTGAGCAGTCTCACTGGGTTTCTTTGTTTGAATGCAGTCCTTTCTACTCCAGAAAATTTTATCCATAAAGTAACTATTTTATCCTCTGTAGGTCACAGGTCTCTATTGCAACTGCTCAGCTCTGTCCTCTGCCCAGAGATAATAGCTGAGTTGGTGTAAATCACATTTTATGTACATGGTCCAGTGGCAGGGTTAGCCTCAGTACTGTAGAGGAGGCAGGAAGGCAATAGGAGTTCTGGCGTGTTGTGTGTCTCGTCGGTAGAACTGCTTAGCTTGCACCAAGCCTTCAGGTCAGTCCCCGTTGCCGCCACCCGTCAACACAACACGGCGGGGTCAAAGGTGTGCGCCACCACCACTACGCATTGAAAACCAGCTCCTGCTCGGTGGCACACACCGTCAGTTCCAGCCCTCAGAAGGCAGAGGCGGGTGGCTTTCTGCGAGTTTTAGGCCAGGCTGATCTACAGAGGGAGTTCTGGGACATCTAGGGCTACACAGAGAAACCCTGTCTAAAACAAACAAACAAAAAAGTTGAAAGAAAGAAAAAGATTATGAGATAAATATATTAGTGGGACTGTAGGAGAGAGAGGTTGGGCTCAGCAGTAAAGTGCTTGCCCATCATGTACTAGGCCCTGGATTTAATCCTCAGTACTGCTGGGGATGGGGAAAATGAAGAAAGAAAAATTTATTAAAGGTAAATACACGTCTTTTATTTTAACAAGGTTTGGGAGTAATTCTTGGGAATCTGTTCACCTATGGGTGAACTTTGAATATGGCAGCCCTGACCGAGGAACAGTCTGACTGCACAGATGGTTGGAATGGTAAGGATGTTCTAAACCACAGCTGAGTGTGTCCTTTTCATTACAGTGACATTTTACGAATGGATTCCACCAATGCTGACGCTCTATATGTGCGTGGCCTTTGCCTTTACTATGAAGATTGTATTGAGAAAGCAGTTCAGTTTTTCGTACAGGCTCTCAGGATGGCTCCTGACCACGAGAAGGCTTATGTTGCTTGTAGAGTAAGTTCTAGGCATGGTGACCTGAAAACCTTGAGAGTGGGAATAAAACTCCCTTTCAAATCTTAAGTTATCAGTGAGGCTAGGGCTCAGTGGGAGGATATCTATCATGCCTGGGGCCCTGGTATCCATCCTTAGTAGCAGAGTGGGAGGAGAGGAGAATAAAGAAGCTGGCTAGAGGTGACAACTTCAGTTGGCAGTTTGTTAAAAATATCCCTGAGTAGTTGGGGGCTGGGGCTGTGTCCTGCCAGGCTGCTGGGATTGAAGAAATTGAGAATAGTCCTCACTGTTGGGTGAGCTGAGGCTTTATGGATTGAACTGACCATCCCTTGCTTTTCTCTAGAATGCCAAAGCCCTTAAAGCCAAGAAAGAAGACGGGAATAAAGCATTTAAGGAAGGAAATTACAAGCTAGCTTATGAACTGTACACAGAAGCCTTGGGGATAGATCCCAACAACATAAAAACAAACGCTAAACTCTACTGTAATCGGGGTACGGTTAACTCCAAGGTGAGCACTTGACATGCGCTGTCCGGAGGCCTTGGCAGATCTGCTCATCAGGAATATGCCAGATAAACGAAAAGTTGGCTCTCATCCTGTAAGGAACGAGCTTCTGAAAAGCAAGCTTACCTTTATTTTGTAGTGTTGAGATCTCAAGAGGCGGTTTGCAGGCCAGCCCCTCCTGTTCTTCCCCAGGTGTCTCTTTCCTCTTTCCAGAGCAGCTAATGGATCTGTGCCATTTGAACAAGTGGTGTGGTTTCTTTTCATTTGAGCAAGAATCTTTATTTTTCAGGAGTGAGATAGTGGAAATTGGCCGTGTTAACAATAACCATAGTCGCCAGGTGGTGGCGGCGCACACCTTTAGTCCCAGCACTTAGGAGACAGAGGCAGGCGGATCTCTGTGAGTTTGAGGTCAGCATAGTCTATACAGTGAGTTCCAGGACAGCCAAGGCTACACAGAGAAGCCCTGTCTCAAGAAAAAAAAAAAAAGACCATAGTCTACCTGTGGTCCTGTGCACCATAAGAAGGATTAGGCTTCTGCTCTTATAGAAGTTTAGTAGTTAAAAATTGCAGTCATTCTGGTCCCTGAAGTTGGCCCATGGAGGGACCCATGGAAGGTGGGAACCACCTATATTGTTTTGGTTAGGCACTAACACTACAGGTGTTAGAGTTAGTGGTGCTTTATCAGTAACCATGTGGCCTTTATCATCAAGAAACCAGTTTGGAATTCGGTGTCCTTAGCCCTCTGACTTCCCAGTGACCATGAACAAGAGTGTAATAGGACAGGGATCTAGCCGTGTTCACAGTATCTGTGGCCATGTGAAGTATGATTGCACGCTCTCTCCTGAAGCTTAGGAAACTAGAAGACGCCATAGAGGACTGCACAAACGCAGTGAAGCTTGACAACACCTACGTAAAAGCCTACCTGAGAAGAGCTCAGTGGTGAGTGCCACGCGGGGGGTGGGGGCGGGGCTGCCGCTGGTTAATTAAGGGAATTGCGTTGTGATTGATAAACAGACCCAGGGATGTTGTGAGGTCATTTGGTCCTTCCCCCTGCCTCTAGGTGGGATTGTTCCAGCCCTAGACTATCTTTATAGACCTCCAGCGGAGGAGATTGCACACGCTCCCTCAGTCTCCCATGCCTGTGTCTAACGCCCTCACGGTCAGTAAGTGTCTCTGATGCCTGACCCAAACTCTTTTTGTTAACATGCAAATCCATTTCCTATGGAGAGTTTATTTGTGTTGTTCACTTCCGCTCTAACTTGGCACAGTGCTTGGCACATCAGTGCTCACCCCATAAGTGGTTTGTTGAATGGATGGATGGTGCTTGGAAGAAGAAAGAAGTAAGTGGTTTTAGGGACAGTTGAGCTGTACCTGCTCTGTTTGTCATGGTAGGGAAAGTACAGCTTCACTTGCCTCAGTGGTGTGGCTATACAGGAAACTCTTGAAAACTCTTGATAGACACTCAGGGTAAATAGTAGATGCTGGGTATCCAAGTGCAGTGGACTCTGTGGCAAGGATCACGCCTGCCCATATTTGCCCTGGGATGCCAGGTACTCCCCAGTCTTTTTGTTTTTTTTTTTTCTTTTCTTTTTTTAAGATTTATACAGTATTCTGTCTGCAGTCCAGAAGAGGGCACCAGATCTCATTATAGATGGTAGTGAGCCACCGTGTGGTTGCTGGCAATTGAACTCGGGACCTTTGGAAGAGCAGACAGTGCTTTTAACCTCTGAGCCATCTCTCCAGCCCCTCTTTTTGCTCATTTTCTCTTGAATCCATCTTCCAGAGAATTTTCTTCAGATGAACAATACTAAGGGCTAGAATAAACCTCTCAAAATTGTTTCTTCTGGGCTAGGTTGGTGGCATGTGCCTGTAAATCTAGCACTTGAGAGGTTGTGGCAGAAGAGTCACCATTAGTGTGAGGCCAGTTTGGGCTACACCAGCCTGGTCTACAGACTAAGACTTTGTCAAAAAAAGAAAAGAAAAAAAAAAAAAAAAAAAAAAAACAGAACATGGGTGTGGAGACGCCAGCCCAGTAGGGACCTGAGATCAGATCTCCAGAACCCACATAAATTCAGATGTCTGTAATTCCAACACTTCTTCTACAGTGAGATGGAGGGAATACAGGAGAATCTCCAGCAGCTCTCAGGCCAGCTATGCTGGCATATTATACAGTGGTTTAAAAAAAAAAAATAAACAAAAGACACTGTCTCAAGTGGAAGATGATGACCAATATTCAAGGTTGTCCTCTCACCTCCGTATGTGTTGATTGGTGTGTGTCAGCCTGCATTCCCACAGAAACATTTGCACACCACAGCTCTGACTTTAAGACCTGGCACAGTGAACCAAAAAAAAAAAAAAAAAAAAAAAGTCGTTTCATTTTCTCCTACTCTCTAAGCAAAAAACTTCCTGATTTTGGTTTTGTTGCTTTAAGATTGGCTGGGCTGGCCTTAAACTTACTATGTATATAGCAAGATTGAACTTCTGGTTCTCCTGCCCCCACCTCTCCCAAGTGCTATGTGTTTTCATACATGCTAGGAAAGCACTACCCAAGCTGATCTACATCCCTAGCCCTATGGAGTTGTTTTTCCCATTTCAGCCCTGGGGTGGTGGGACTAGTTTTAAAGATCCTAAAGGAAAATTAAGTTCTTGGTCATCATTCTTCCAATGCCCATTTTATTCCTAATTATCAACTGTGAAGTCTAAAGGACAAGCACTGCTACTAATGTTTGAGCCAGAAACCCTGATGAGCAGTACAGAATCCCTCAGATTCTCACCATTAAGGTATAAAAACTAAGCCGGGTGCAGTGGCACATGCCTGTAATCCCAGCACTTGGGGAGACAGGGGTAGCTGGATCTCTCTGAGTTTGAGGCCAGCCTACTCTAGAAAAGTCCAGGACAGGCAAGGCTACACAGAAAAACCCTATCTTGAAAAGAAAAAAATATATATATAGAAGTTGCTAGTATATATGTTTTGTTGTTGTTGTTGTTGTTGTTGTTTTTCATAAAATTAAGTGGATAATCATCCACTCAAGTCTGTCCAGTGAAAACATATGTGAATTGTATTATCAGTTCTAAGAGACAAGCCCTCATTTGTTCCATCGTCATCACCCCACTGTCAGCAGAAACACAAGTTTAGGCTGGTGTGTCGCTTAGTTGTTTAGAACCTGACTAGCATGTGTGAGGCCCTGCCTCTAATATCTCCCTGCTCTTTTACCCCAAAAAGAGAATAGGAAGTGGTAGGGTGCTGGCCTAGTATGCATAGAGTCCTGGATTCAGTTCCTGGCACTCTATAAATTGGGCTTGCTGTCACATGCCTATATCCCAACACTCAGGAGGTGAAGGCAAGAGGATCAAAAGTTCAAGGCTAGCTAGAGAGATGTTGGCTGCTTGGGTAAAGGAGTCTGCCGCCAAGCTGGACAACCTGAACTCCATCCACAAGACCAACAAAGGGGAAGGAGAGAACTGACTTTGAGAGTTATCAACTCTGACCTACACACACAGTAAATGTATTTTGTTGGTTTCTGTTTTTTGAGAGGGTTTCTCTGTGTAGCCCTAGCTGTCTTAGAACTCTGTTGGTTAGGCTGGCCTCACACCCAGAGATCTCCATGCTCTGCCTCCTGAGTGCTGGGATTAAAGGTGTGTCACCACTGCCCAGTCAGTAAATGTTTTGTTTTTTTTTGTTTTATGTGCATTGGTGTTTTGTCTACATGTGTGTCTTTGTAAAGGTGCAGGGTCCCCTGTAATTGGAGTCACAGACAGGTATGAGCTGCCATGCAAGTCCTCTAGAAGAGCTCCTAACCACTGAACCATCTTCCCAGCCCCAGTAAAAATATTTTTAAAATAACTTGAAAATTCACAAGTTTGCCAGTTAGTGATGGTGGTGGCACATGCATTTAACTCCAACACTTGGGAGGCGGAGGCAGAGGCAAGCAGATCTCTTGAGTTTGAGGCCAGCCTGGTCTACAGAGAGAGTTCCAGGACAGTTAGAGCTGCACAGAGAAACCCTGTCTCAAAAACAAAAAGAAAAGAAAAGGGGGAAAAAATTCAAGGCCAGCCTGAATAAATGAGACTGTCTAGATAATGTGCCTTGCAATTTTCTCTAACAGTAAAAGAGTAGAATCCTATAGTGCCGACTATCCTGATGTTCTGCACCATGAGAACAGATAAAGGAAAAGTAGTACATCCTTAATTTGCCAGGGGACAATGGAGTTAGATGATTTTGTTTATATGTATGTGTGTTTACAGTAAAAAAATAAAATAAAATCAGAAATTGCTTTTTGTGTTAAGGATAGAACTGCCCTTGGGTGGCTTTGCCTCTGAAATTCCACCCCAGTGGGGAACAGTGGATACTTGGCATAGTTAGCTGAGAATGTAGTAACAGTCCCCTGGAGCAGGTGAACTGCCGAACCACCTGAGCAGTTAGCTTTAGCCTTTCTAGAGGCCTGACCACTTTACAGCTTGGCTCAACTCAGCCTTAAATTTTGGCAGATGACAAATGTTTGCCACAAGTTAGAGTTCTTCATGTCTCTCTTAAAGCCTTATTTTTCTGTCTTCAACATTTAAGAGACCTGGAAGGATATTTTTGGGTTTTAAAAAGTATAAAATAACAGATCCTGCTGGGCAACTCATATCTATAATCCCAATACCTGGGAGGCTAAGGTAGGATCATTGCCAGTTCAGGGCAGATTGGGCTACATAGTAAGTTCCAGTCCAGCCTAGGCTACAGAATAAGAAAGACCTTGTCTCAGAAAATAACAAAAGAATGCAAGTCATTGTCATGCTACTTTTTTAATACATTATGCAAAGGCCTAGAAATCATGTCAGGGTTACTCATGTATCTGAGGTTTTTCGTTTGTTTTTTGTTTTTCAAGACAGGCTCTTTGTGTAGCCTTGGCTGTTTTAGAACTCACTCTGTAGACCAGGCTGGTCTTGAAGTCAGAGATCCACCTGACTCTGCCTCCCTAATGGTGAGATTAAAGGTGTGGGCCACTATCTCCCGGCAGTGTGTATTAAATTATTATACCTAAAATTATCTGAGACTTCATCCTGTGAATTGGTTGTCTATGTTCCTAGTACCGTGTGTCTGTAGGGCATTGCGGTTTTTGCTTTTGTTTTATTTGGTTTGGTTTTATTGAAACAGGGTCTTACCGTGTCAAACAGGGTGTCCTCGAACTCAGAGGTCCTCCTGAGTGCTAGGATTAAAGGTGATGCACCATCACACCCTGGCTAGACACTGGGATTGGGTTTTTTTTGTTTTGTTTTGTATAAATCATAGATGGGTGTGCTTCCAGAAATTCGGAGATGCCTAAGATGTCAAACTTGTCTTTGGCCAGCCACATTGGTGACAGTCTTCCTGCCCCGGTCTCCAAAGCCAATGTGTGTAAAGATGGGCTAGCATGATGGAAGTATCAGCTGATTGACTGGTGTGCGGAGGTGCACCATGTGGGCTCTTTCCGTTCTTAGCAGATGTTGAGGTGTTAGATGGAGAGGACAGACTTGGTGCCATTAGGTCATGACAATACCACTTACTGTAGGAAACAATACTTTCAAAATCCTGGTACTCTTCCTGTTGGGTTCAGTTCTCCATTTTAGCCTGGCGACCGTTCTTTGCTTTTGTGCTCCTGAAATAGAAGCTAGACTGTGTTTGAGAGAGTCCCTTCTTCTATCTCACCTCTCCCTCTGAGATCGATTGATCTTAGTCGGAGCATTTGCCAGCAGCTTCCACCCTGACCTTGATCCTTTTAGTGGCTCAACTAACCCCACTTGTAGCCTGGGTTGGAGCTGGCCCTGCATGTTTGTGGCACTGAAGATTTCAAAGCTCTTTCACAGCAGTCTGTCTCACATGGTCATTTTTCTCTTGTGTTTCAGTCCAGGGCAGTCAATTAGGCACTTTGACGTTGCCTTTCCTAGGCAGCCCAGGCGATGGGCAGTACTGGGTCACCAAGAGCTTCTCCTTTGCCACTGCCTGCTTAGAACAGGGGATTAGTAGCTGGGTGCAAGTGCCACCAGGCTTCTTTACCTTGAGGAGCTAAGAGTCACTTCATTTTTAGATAGGGGATTCTACTGTTTGATGAAGCATCCTACCGAAAGTGTGTATCGCGTGCTTGAGCCATGCCTTCTCCCTAGAAGGTCCCACAGGCCGTTGCTATTTGTGTCTGAGTGCTGTGTTACCCTGTACTTCCTTCTCAGTTACATGGACACAGAGCAGTATGAAGAAGCTGTGCGGGACTATGAAAAAGTGTATCAGACGGAGAAAACAAAAGGTATGGAACAGAGGGCCATCAGACTCGCCTCTCGAGGGGCTGTGGTTTCTTTGGTGCTAAAACTAAACTGGGTTATTTGAGGTAGCTAGCGCTTAGAATATGCCTGGAAGTTATGTGGTCGCTAGCCTAAAAGCAGCCAATAGGGCTCCTGGTGGGGGCTCAGGCACCTGTGTTCTGGTTCTAGCTCCTCTCTGTTAATTTCACTTCCTCTGTGTTCGGAAGAAAGCACCAAAAAAGCTCCTGTTGTGGTTACCGAAGTTTCTAGCCTCTGAGCAGCTGGGCTGGGAACCAGCCAGGGAAGCAGTCAGAGCTGTCTGCTGATGGCACCTGTCTCCCTCCAGAACACAAGCAGCTCCTTAAGAATGCACAGCTGGAGCTGAAGAAGAGCAAGAGGAAAGATTACTATAAGATCCTAGGAGTTGACAAGAATGCCTCTGAGGACGAGATCAAGAAAGCTTACCGCAAACGGGCCTTGATGCACCATCCAGGTGAATGTTGCAGCAGGAACCCACGGGGCAGATTCACTGGGCACCCAGGAGGCTTGCTCCTCTGCGGGAAAAGGCAGTGCTGAGCTCCCTGTCCTACAGATTGTGGGAGGTGCCACATCCCAAACTTGGACATAAACAGACTCTGTTTTTCCATGTCCCTGCTTTCACTTAATCCCCCTCTAGATCGGCACAGTGGGGCCAGTGCTGAGGTTCAAAAGGAGGAGGAGAAGAAGTTCAAGGAGGTGGGAGAGGCCTTTACGATCCTCTCTGATCCCAAGAAAAAAACCCGTTATGACAGTGGGCAGGACCTGGATGAGGAGGGCATGAATATGGGCGGTGAGTTGGTTTGGGCACCTGGAGTAAAGATGGTCCCTGTAAAACGTTTTTTTAAGGCACCAGAGAAGCTCCTGTTGTGGTTACCAAAGCTTCTACCTCTGGGCAGCTGGGCTGGGGCACTCCATAGGGGAGGTCTGTAGGTGGTCAGCCAGGGACATAAGCCAGAAAAGATGAGCTGGGGCAGGAGCCATCAGAACTGCTGCGGAGGGAACCAGTGCAGCGCTAGTTCCAGGGTCAGGACCCCCAGGGCTGCTGCATTGATTTTGGAGCACTGAAGTGACAAAGTTGAGCCTTCTCAATAGTAGCCCCAGCATTATAAGAAGGCAGCCTAGTGCAAATAATATTCCTAGGTAAGGAGACAGCACACAGAGTAGGTTGAGGCAGAGGAATCTTTCCGTCATGTCTACTCTTGGAGGGAACATATGCCAGGAGCAGGGTGGAGTAGCAGGTTCTGCCTGGGAGGGTGGCAGGAAGATGTTAACATCTAGGGTGATAGGATGGAAAAGGGAAGTGATACTCAGAGTTCTTCCAGCGTCTGGGTCCTCAGGCCCTTCTGATTTCCCCTTATTTTTTGTTCCTTCCATACTTCTCAACAGATTTTGATGCAAACAACATCTTCAAGGCATTCTTTGGTGGTCCTGGGGGCTTCAGCTTTGAAGGTGGGTATGCATGCTGCTCTTGAGAGTTCCCAGGTGACGAACCAGCACTGACCCCCTCACTCAGAGAGCTCCTGGGAAGTTTGAGTAGACACAACAGGATCCTTAGTTAACAGGACATGTGTCTGCTCTAGTGTGGTTGAAGAGGCTCCTAGGCTTATTTTGCCTGGACCATTCTCAGTGCACTTGGCAGGGTCAAAGAAGTGTCACCAAGCCCCTCAGTATTGAGCCCTGTCCTCAAGAGCAGAGGTGCCCAGAAGCTACACACAAATGCACTCCAGCCTAGTAGCAGGGTACTGGCCTTGCACTCAAGGCTTAGATTGTTTGATACCCTTGGAGTCTCTGTTTGGATTAAGCTGCCCTTGAAGATGTCTATAATGACAATAGTTTTCCTAAGCAAATCCACAGAGCCAACTAACAAGCCTTTCTTTTCCCTTTCAGCATCTGGCCCAGGGAATTTCTTTTTTCAGTTTGGCTAATGAAGGGCAACCACTCAAAACCCAGAAAATGCAGACTTGCTCAGTTTCACCATGAATGTGGACAGTTCACTCCTCCATCATGTCCCCGTGTGCTTAGAGCAGTTTCATTTTCTCAGTTGGGTGCCCTGTGTCTGTATGAGGGGTGAAGGAAAGGGAGCCAGTGCTGAGGACTGGGGAGGGAGGGAAGCCAGGGGTAGACAGGAAGGCAGCTTGTGAATTTTTGTTGTATTGTTTAACTTTATTAAAAAAGAAAAAGAATAAAATGTTTTGAACGTTTTTTGGTCCCTGGCTTTGGCAACTGTTCTGTATCTGAAGTTAATCCAGGAGCATAGGCACCTGATTTGGGGTGGGGGTTATTTTGTTGTTGTTGTTTGTTTTTGATGGTCTCACTACGTGAACTCAGGCTGTCCTGGAGCTCAGGGCAGTCCTCCTCCCTCAGCTCTCTCCAGTGCTGGGATTACAGTATGAGCCGTCACACTGTCCTGCTCCTACAGTTCTTAATGACACTGTAGGTTAGAGGGACATGGACATGAGAACAAAATTCTGTTCCTGACCTCCAGGCTCTTTCAAAGTGTGTCAGGCAGCTCCAGGTCTCGGCCCTTTGCTGGCTTTAAAGGTTCACGCTGTTGGAAACTGCATTCTGTGTGAATACCAGACTGGTCTGTTCCTGCTTATATGAGGCAAAATGGAAAAGGAATCTGTAGCCCTATCACACTGCTCAGGCAAGTCACTGTTCTGTGCAGACATGTGAGCTTTTAGCCAGACTTTGAAGCTGGACTGCAGAGCTGACGGCACAGATAGCCAGGGAGTGAGAGAGGCCTTGAACCAGAGTGGCGGAATGGTTAGACCTGGGCATACTTAGCTGTCAAGGCCCTGTGAGCACAGAGGGGCTGCTGTAGAGCCTCTCCTACATTTGAGGAGCAGCGACTTAAGGTGGCCTTCCCCAGAGACCCTGCAAAGCCCACACTGGGAACTCTGGGCCCTGCTGCAAGGTCTCTGGGGCAAGGCCACCTGCATGTAGTTGCCTTAGCTGTGAGATAAAGGCTTTGTGCTCTGCGTTCCTGGCTCCCAGCCAACCCCCACCTTCTGTGTGAGCCTGAAGCTAGCCTCTCCTTCCCATTTCATGAAAGCCAACACTGTTCCGCTGCCCGGCCTCATCACAGCTGTGTCCAGCCAGCAGAAGGGAGACAGGACCGATGGCCCCAAGCTGTGGGACAAAGCTAGTCTTAATGTAACCCAGCCCTAGCCCCAGGGAAGACTGAACTGGAAGTGGAAGGCCAAGAGTCACTGCACAGCACACAGCTGGGATTAACATGATTTATTTCAGTATCAGTCGCTGAGGTGGACAAAACCAGGGTAGGCACATAAATCCCAGATACTTGGGTGACAACCCAATTAGCAAGGTCCTGTTACTGAGCAGAAGGCAGAGGTGCTCCAGGGACCACAGCACGTGAGCACGTTCAGACTCCCCCGGTGAGCTGGGCTTATGCTTGACAGCTCAGGGTCCCCTCCATTGGCTCTTGGTACCCACCACCCTCCTTTAGAGGAGGCCCAGAGGCACCATGGAGGCAGGATGGGCTGGGCAGAAAGCAGAGCTGGCTTCTCAGGCCATCTCTCTGACCTCAGTCTGTCCGCAGAGCAGAGACATGGAACTGTGAAGGGCAGGTGGCCAGAGGGAAGCCAGAGATGCGGCTTCTGATGATTCCACTTTCTCCCCTAGTGATCACACTGTTAACACAGTTACAGTGTGAAGGAGGTGGATAGGGACTTAGGAAAGGCCAAAGGCCAGAGGTTTAAACCCCTTTCACGTCCCAGTAAATAGCCCAGGCTTTCCCAGGGGCTATAGTGATTAAGACTGGCACCAAGGATCAGACTCCTGTCAAAGCTACCACTGTTTTCCTGTGGCAGTAACACTGTCCCTAGCATGATGTGTGCAGCTCTGAGGTGTGCCCAGCTCTGGATGGGCATGGGGCAGGGCCTAAGGGAGGGTTAACTGGTCCCTGGACATGGGGCAGATGTGGCTCCAGGCCCAATGACCCAGCCTTTTATTGTCACCTCTGGTCCAGGTTCCTGAATGGCGTCTTCCTCTGCCCACCCGCCTGTGTTGAGAGATGAGTGTTAAGGGGAAGAGTGGGCAGGAAGGGACTGGCAGTTATTTTACAGATTCTTAAAAGGTTACAGGTAGGTTAGCTATGGGTAAAAAAAAAAAAAACAAACAAAAAATCTTAAAAATCAAGTGGAAGGCATGTTGCCCTGTCCACCCCTCTCCCTTCTAAAGAGCAAAAGGGGTACAGTGGTGTGAACCCTCAGATTATGGTACAAATCTGCATGGCACCCCCCTTCCGGCTGCCATGTATGGGCACAGGTTTGCCCTTCCCATAGTACCCCGTGAAGATGGCCTTGACCTCCATCTTCTTAGCCAAGCTCAGCATCCAGCGCCCTTTGCCCAGGGAGTAGAGCTTGCCCCGGGAGAGCTCACCCACCTCCTCACCTTGGCTGCCACCCTTCACCTGCTGCAAAATCTCTAAGAGGTCAAGGCCTGTCTGCACTGGCTGCACATCAGCTGCACAACCTAGGGTGATGTGAGCTCGGCTCCCCGGGGGCAGGCTCTCGGAGGACGACGGCTTGTCCAAGTCACTCGGCCACAGCAACAGCTCCTGCTCGTTCAGCACCACCTGGGCCCCAGCCGTCTTGGGTGTCACAAAGAGGGCGGAGATGGACAGTTTGAAGGCCTTGCTGTAAGATCTCTTCACCACCTGGGGAAGGAGGGGCCCCGAGTTAGAGGAACAGCTGGCAAAGTTGGGTCCCGTCCCTCCCCCCCCCCCCCCCCCCCCCCGCCGAGGAAAAGGTGAGTGCGGCTGTGTAGGGGTCTTTTTTGGTTTTGTTTTTCGAGACGGGGTTACTCTGTGTAACCTGGTTGTCCTGGAACTCACTCTGTAGATCAGGTTGGCCTCGAACTCAGAGATCCCCCCTGCTTGGCCTCCCAAGTGCTGGCATTAAAGGCATGCACCACCACCACCGTGCTGAGCAGGGGTCTTAAAGTCAGATCAAACAAATAACACAGCAAAAGGCACTCAAGCTAATGTTGGAAAAAGGCTTTCAGAGAGGTACCACACACAAACCCCATTATTAAGCCCAAGGCTCTTGGGTGTGCTGTTAGCCTCTCTGCCTTGACTATTCACTTGTATGAAAGGGGTGACCTCCCAGCAAACAGGATTAACAAAGCCTGGATCAGCTACCGCTGTTACTCCAAGGCTCGCTCCACTCAACACACCTGGTTTACATCTGATTATACCTCTGGCCGCACCTGACTCCCTTTCCTAAGATCATCTGACCCAACTGTGAAGCCTTTTTTGTTGATGGGCTTCGGTTCCAACAGTGCTGTGTGACAGGTAATTAGTAAGCGTTACTAAGTGGACAACAGGAAGGAGCAACTATTTACATTCACCCATCCCAATGGACTAGGCTTTGAGGACACAAAGTTACAAACTCCTGGCTTAGTTCCAGGAGATTGGCCGTAAGCAAGCAGGTGAATGGCTGCTGGGAAGGCAATGTGCCTGGAGTTGTGGATGTGGCTGTGTGCTGTGCGCAGGAATGGGTGGGTCACCAGTCGTGGGCATCCTTCCCTCAGAGGTAGACGAGGGCTCTCTGGAACTCAGGACTCTGAGCATTTGAGACTCCGGGCTCAAGCGGCCGGAGCAGGAGCCTGCTGCTGTGTGGCATTGTCCATGAACCTTTAACATGAGGGAAAAGGCCCTGGGGGCATAGGGACTAGTGAGTCCCTAAGAAAGGGTAAAAGAAGAGAGAGTAAGCCAAAGATGGGAGGGGCCACACTTCTCCAGGCACTGTGATTCCTGCTCCACGCGGCAGTTCCAGAAGCTGTTCTAACCCGCTGGCTCTCCCTGCCTCCCCCGGGGGTCTCTGGGGAGGACTCACATCCTGCTGGGCATATTCTTCTGCCCCGGTGGCCTTCCCGTAGTCGCAGAATTTGGTTGTACAGTGCAGCACGCCTGGGGGTCTCTTCCCAAAGTAGCTGACTAGGTCAAGCTTCTCCTTGGGTTCATCCTCAGAAACAACTGCAGAAGAGAAGGCAGTCAGGGTGGGGAGCTGGGCCTACCAGCACCTACCACAGAAACTGCAGGCCCAGAGGGGAAAACGGGGCCATCGCGAAGACGCTCAGGCACTCCACTCTGCTTTGCTCACCTGCCAGCTGGGTTGAGTCCCCGGTGCCGACCACACGCAACACAAACGTGACATGTACGTGTAATCTTAGCACTGGGAAAGTCGAGGCAGGAGGATCGGGAGTTCTCAAAAGAGGGGACGGGAAGTTGGGGGTGCTTGCCCAGCATGCATAGGGTCCTGGGTTCAACGCTCAGAGGGAAACAATTTAAACTCTAACTGCACTGTTTTAACAGCGTGTAGATCTTTACATCTCTGTCTGAGCTCTAACACAGGGCTAGCCCATGCAAGCCAAAGGCCAGCATCATACCTGGAGAGAGAGAGCAAGGTGAGAAGTGCCACTTACTGGCCATCTGGGATACACAGTTGACTCTTGTCAGTCCACTGTGACAGTTCCAGTTGCCATACCCCCCTCCCCAAATTCCTCAGGGCTTCTGAGATAGCCAAGCATCCATTTTGCCCAGGAGTGACTGTTACACACGGTCTGCAGGCATGCTTAGAGAAGGAGAGCAAAGCAAGGGCCTAGAACAGGAAGTGTCCTGGGTACAGAGGGCTAGAGTGTCAAAGCTCAGCTTCCAGGCGCCCAGCTTAGTGCCTGTGTTCAGCCTCTAGCTTTTTCCTACGTGTTCCCAAGGGCTAACCCTTCAAGGGATTCTCTGTTCTGAACATGTCTTGTTACTGTCTAGGATGCCTCCTGCCACACCCTGAGTAGAAAACAAATTCTGGTATTTGTGGCCAAAGCCGGCACCACCAGCTCTGGCTGGAAGCCCCGGCTCTTGGTTGCCCCTCACTCCGTACAGGAAGTGTACTGTAGAGCTGTAGGAGCCCAGAAATAAGCTTTCTGAGAACTCATATGGGCAGGAAGGAGCTGTTTGCCTCTGAGCAGTCGAACAGCAAAATGAGTTTCTTTCAAGTTTGAGACCAGCTAACATTGAGAGACTTAAAAAACTACTTCAAGAAGGCTGGGCAAGGTAGTATGTGCCTTTCATTCCAGTACTGGGAAGGCAGACGAAGGGGGATTATTGCAAGTCAGGCCAGCCCAATGGATATAGTGAGTTCCAGGCCAGCCATGGAAGGCTACATAGTAAGACTCTGTCTCAAAAAATAAAAAGACTTAAAGGCATAGAAGGGTGGTGGGGCAATGTGGGGGAGGGGAGGGGAGCCTTGAGAACCCTTCCCTACACCAGAGCTGCCCATCCGCTGGAGCCAACAGCCCTTGCCAGTAAAGAACCCTGCTGGATCCTAACCAGGTACAGGTGGCAACTCTCACAACCACTCTGGGCATGTCCCCTGTGCTGAGAATGTTGTGGAAGGCATGAAACTGAGTTCTCTAGAGCTCAGGATGCTATGAGGGTGCCATGGAGAGCCCAAGGCCTGAGAACCATCTACAGGGAAGTCAAAACAGTTGACCTTACTAATTTTTTTTTTTCAAGACAGGGTTTCTCTGTGTAGCCCTGGCTGTCCTGGAACCCTTCTTTGTAAACCAGGCTGGCCTTCGAACTAACAGAGATCATCCACCTGCCTGCGCCTCCAGAGTGCTGGGATTGAAAGGCTTGCACCACAATGCCCGGCCGACCTTGCTGCTTTCTGTAGCTGAGGTTTCCATCTCAAATTCTGCTTGGAAACACACATTCTGCTGCTTAAAATGACTTTGACCACCTTGGACCATAGTCTCCCTCCAAGGCTCAGAGCATATGATGGCATTTCCTACAGTGAGAGTTACACAGTGTTCCCACCTCCAAGAGATGGAAAGATGGTGCTAGGGAGTAGAGGGAGGCAAGAAAGGTGCTTGTGGACATGCCTTCTCCATAGCATCCCCTGCTGCTACCTCTAAATCCTTGCTTTTGGCTAGTCCTGGGAGCAAACAGCCCCCAATGCCTGGCATGGTGCGGGGGGGGGGGCGGGGGGCGGGGGAAGAGCTCTCCGACACAGGCAAACAGTACAAGGACCCAGCCGCCCCCTCCCTCCCCCGCAACCACCTACAGTGCCGAAGCTCCCTCTTGAAGGCCTTGTGATTCCCCAGCTCCTCCAGGAAGACCTGGCCAGCCTTCCGGAGGGTCTCAGAACTCTTCCTGGTCAGGAACCAGCCAAAGTAGAGTGGCAGGAAGTCCTTCTCCAGCCCGGGTTTCAACTTCTTCAGGTCTTCGGCCGTCAGCTGCCATTGGTTCTTCTCCTTGAGCTGGGCACAGTCTAGTCGCCACGCTGTCTTGGGCTCCACCAGCAGCACCTGGTACTGGTACTGGTCCGCCATTTCAAAAAGCTGGTCCAGTCGCTCCCGCTCATGGTTGGTGTCATCGAGCACAAGAACCCTGACGTCCCGGCGGCAGTAGGCAGCCAGGCTCTCGTCCAGCCTCTTGTACTCCTCGGAGAAGTCTGCCCGAGAGCCGGGGACGATTTTGTAGGTGTCGGCAGACACTATCTTGGTGCCGTTGTGGTACTTCTCCGCGATGAGCCGGGCCAGTGTGGTCTTGCCGCTGCCCGGCAGGCCACGCAGGATGAACAGCGTCTTGCACTCGTGCAGCGTGGCCACCGTGTCCTCATCCTGAAGGAAGGGGAACTGCAGCTCCGGCTTGTCCTTCGCTCCTGAGGATGACATTTTTCTGAAGAAGACCTTGGGCAGGAATGTGTGGCTCTTTCGGGTAAAACTTGTGTTCTGTTTAAGGAGGGAAGAAGAGATGTCAGCCCGGGCTCCTTGAAGCCAGCCCGCAAGCACCAAACCCGCGTCTTTAGCCTAGCTCTCCCAAAGGGGCACCGGTTGCCCGCTCAGGAATCCTTAGGCCTAACTGAAAGCACCGCTAGGTGGTGGGTGCTTTCTCCAGTGGGGAGCGGCGGCGGCTTTTTTTTTTTTTTTTTTTCTCCTAGTAGGTCCTTCAGTATCTTCAACAGCAGGGCTGTGTAGGGTAGAGGGGACCTCAGTGAAGCTACCCAACCTCTTTACTCTTCTGCTCCTAGGATCACTCTCTGCTGCCCCTCAGAGTGCCTGTCACCCTCAGTCAGCCCCAATTTATACACTCTTGGCACCTCTTAAGGATGTCCTATCTGGAGGCCTGAGGCTCTATGTATGGGCAAAGCCACAGCTGCCCTGGCTCTCTTGAGTGTGCAGAGGAGGGTGAGGGCAGAAGAGGGTGACCCAAAGACCTCCTCCCTCCACCCAACAATGGCATCAACGGATAATACTCTCTTGTCTGGGTTCGGGGGGACAATGGTCCCACAGAGGGCTGGTGGGGGGGCAGGGCAGGGGAGCACTAGACAAAGAGCCTCATTCACAGCCACCTCCTCCTCTGCTCTCTCGGTCCCCCTCTCCCTGGTCTGTAGGCCTAGGTGGCACAGGGCACCTGTATTCAGGGATCTCTGCCCCCCACTTTGCTGTGGGTTGGCGGTACCTCTCTGACAGAAGCAACAAGTAAGGGCAGTTTCAGTTGTCACCTATACTGCCTTCCGCCGTTGGTGTGCACCCCCAAAATTTAGCTGTCTTATGGCTTCTCTACGGCCTTGTGCAGGGGTCGCTTGGGAAGCCATTCCCAGCGCGGGCTCTGCGGCGGCCCTGGACTCTCCGGCGCTATCCCGGGCCCAGACCCACTTGCCAGCTGGTGTCGGCAGGAAGCCTCGATTTTCCTCTTCGCTGCTACGGGATTTCTCCTCCAAAGACACTGAGACTCCCCCAAGCTTCCCCGCTACCCCTGCCTTCGGGCTGCCTTGGAGGACCCGGAGGCTGGACTTCAACTCCGGAACCTGGGGTTCTCGTTTGCAAGCTACTTTTACCCAAACGTCTTCAGGGACTTTCGCTTTCCGTTATCCTCTCTCCCGCCCCCGGGTCCCCACGCGTGCGCAGCGCTCACCATGATGAGTGGGCGCACAGCGGTCACCGCCTTTGCGGGCACTATGTCTCCGGGGCCGCCCGCCTGCGCGAGGGACACGGGCGTCTCGGGGTGTCAGGACCCCCACGCAGGGCTCCTTTTCATAGCTCAGGAGGCGGAGCGAGGGGATGGGGCGGGGTCAGCCGGGGCCTCTGCGCAAGCGCCGGGTGCAGAAAGATGCGGTCTGAGCCTTGGCTGAGCGCAGAGGCACACCTGGGCTTTCCGCGCCACGTCTTTGTTTCTTAAAAGTTAAAGGTTAACTTTTTATTTCCCCCTCTGAGACAAGGACTCACTTCGTAGCTCCGGCTGTCCGGGAATTCACTGTTTAGACCAGGGTGGCTTGGCACAGAGACTTATCTGCCTGCCTCTGTCTCCCAAGTGCTTCACTGAGAGAAAGGTTTAACTTAAAACAGGAAGTAGAGTCCCCGGGCAGGTTAGGATGAAATGAGTTGAAGTATAGCCGTGCATGTGGCAAAGTCAGATCTCTTTAATATTTTGTAACAGGCCCCTAGACAGGGTGGAAATACCGTTCAGGCTGTGAAACCAGCTAGATAGGCTTATCACCACCTGCCAAAACAAAAACAGAGACCTAATTCATCAAGGTCCGTAATTCTGGGAAAGTCTCTAAATGTACTAACCTTTTCGGCTTCCGCGGTCTGCTTCTGGCTGGGTGTGGTTTTTGCGCTTAACCTCCCCCCAACCCCCAACCTGGCGTGGTGGCCTTCAATCCCAGCACTGGGGAGAGGCAGAGGCAGGAGTATCGCTCTGAGTTCGAGACCAGCGTGGTCTACAAAGTTTGTCCAGGACAGCCAAGGCTACACAGAGAAACTCTGTCTTGAAAAACCAAAAAAAAAAAAAAAAAAAAAAAAAAAAAAAGTCACAGGCGGCTAGTAAAGACTTTCTATTGGCTTAAACCAGGTTTTGTTTTTTTGTTTTGTAAGATCAGAGCCTCATATAGTCCAGGCCAAGTTCAAACTCCCTATGTAACAGAGGATGACCTTGAGTTTCTGATCCACTTGCTGGAAAGTCGAGCACCCATGATCGTGTCCAGTTGTTTTGGTGCTGAGAATCCACCCAGGGCTTTCGAAAGCTAGGCGGGCGTGCCACCATATTCCTCGAAATAATATGTTTTCACTTACTGTTCACTTTTACTTTTTTAAACATTTCATTGAACTATAGCTGGTCGTGGTGGTGCACTCCTTTGAGGCCAGCACTCCGGAGGCAGAAAGGCAGGTGGATTCCTGTGGGTTCAAGGCCAGCCTGGTCTACAGAGCAAGTTCCAGGACGGCCAGGGCTACACAGAGAAACCCTGTCCTTCATCTCTATTTATGGCGCGGCTAAGATAGCCCGTTTAACATGGCTAAGCATGTTAACGTGAGCTGGGTTTCAAGGCCCTGGATGGTAAGAGAGGGCCAACCCCCTCGGGTTATCCCCCAACTGCCATAGGCATGTTATGGTGTGTAGCTGTACATACATAAACACACACAAAAATAAATTAAAAGGTAATTTTAAAAGGACGTGATTTCAAATAGTGTTAGCCGGGGGCTGGGGGTATGGCTTGGTGGCAGAACACTTGTCTAGTGAGCAGGAGATCCTGGACTTGACTTAGTGATGGGGGCGGGGAACCAAAGTAATCTGCCTTTGAGTTACCCTTCACTCGACTGGAATCCTGGCTTCATCTCAGCCTAAATCATCCTCAGCCCTGACTCTAGACCACTCAGCAGAGGTCCGGTCCTTTCTGAGGTCAGATGTTCACACACCAGCTCTGGGCGGCCAGTGGGGTTTCTGTGCCGTTCGAGAAACTGATATTCCCAGGGCAGCCTAAGGCTTCCCAGAGGAGGCACAGCCCGGGACTCTTGGCTCAGAGAGTCTGCCTGTGGGCCTGGCACTCACTCCAGGCCTACAGGCTTGATAAGTCAGCCCACAGGGTGACAGCTGATGTCAGCTGAGCTGGCCCTCTACTGTGATTTCTGTACACCCCTGCCCTACTCCCTGTACCTTGTACCCTCCACACAGTAACTCCTGGGGAAAGTGAGTGGGTGGGCAAGAAGGAAGCAGAAATACCTTGGTTCTCAGGGCTTTCTTTTCCTCTCCTTTGAGCATTCTGGGCTCTCCAGAACTCACCTGCCTCTCCGCCCACCCCTCTCATTTCTTTCACTAGTCCCTACTGAGAATTGAGGGAGAGGGAGGAAGGACAACCACTCCAGATTTGGAAAAGCTAAAGACATATATTTAATGGGAAAACAGGGATACACGGGGGTAACCTGTAGGAGGAGTCAGTCTCCCAGTTTTTCCTATCAAAAACATCTCACCTGGGAACACCTGAGCCCAACCTCCTGAGCCTAATGCCTACTAAGCAAGGCTTCATCCTTTCCCATTTGTTAAAACATTTCATTCTTTCACGTCATCATCTTCCGTTTTCTCCGATATGTCAATCTCCTCGATGACTGCTTCTGCTGGTTTTAGATCCTTTAGGCTTAAGCTCTCTGAGAACGTGCGTTCCGAGTCTTCCAAGGGCTTCCCGAAAGCTTCCGTACTCTGTACAAACAGCTGTGTGCCATCTCCTCCAGAGCTGCCTCTGTCTTGCTCCTGTCCCTCCGGTTTCAGCAGCGTAAGCTTTGACTCCTCATCATCCGTAGTCGATCTCTCGCTCTCCATTGGATCCCTTTCCCACTGTTTCACCACTTTCTCCGATTCGTCTCGAGTGTGTCTCGTTTCCTTCTCCAGGGTTGCGGGCAACTCTATCAATGTAGTGACTTCCTCTGGAGAAGAGAACAGGGAGGAGCGGGATGAAGGTCTACAGAATGATGAAGGTCTGTGCTTCCCAGAGCAAAGCTGCCAGAGCGGCTGCTGTCGTGAGCTCTTTCATATGGTGAAAGCACGGGCTTCCAAAAGGAGAGAACTGGTTATTACTCGGGGCCTGAAGCCAGCTCTGTTCTGGCATCAAGCGAGACGCTGCAAATGTCATGCCATTTGATTATCATGGAATTGCATGGGAACCTGAGACGGACACAGGACGTCATACCATGATCTCCCCCCCCCCCCCAAAAAAAAAAAAAAAAGCCAGAATTTGAATCCTGGACCATCTGACCTAAATGCACTCTTTTCTCTACAAGAAATGGCACGGATTCCCACATGAGCAGCCTCGGCCACAGGGTCCTGCTTGTTACACACCACACTGCTCCCACAATGCCTTTCCCACTGTGATGCAAAAGACACACTTCCTCCCTTAGCAAAAATGGCATAGGTGTTGAGAAGGGACAGGGGTTCCTGTCACCCTGCCACCATTGTATTTGTCCCTGGGGAGCTGTCAGCACCGAGTTCTCTCGTGAACAGGGGAGCATGCCGTCGGGCAAGAGGGCCTGAGAGCTGCTGTTTTATGACTCTCGCTCCTTGTCTCTGGTAGTTGCAGAAAAGTCACCATCACCTCCTGGCTACCCTTCATGCTCTTCCTCCTTGAAGCTGCTCATGTCAAAGTCGGCAATAGAAAGCTTAACGGGCTCACAGCCATCCCGAGGCAAAATGATAAACAACAGTGCCCTCTGCTGTTCAGAGCAGGACGTGACCCCCACCAAGAGAAGGCAGAAAAGCTCTTTCCTCAGCATTGTGCCAGCCCAAAGGAGGGGAGGCTGCTTAGGGTACCTGCTGCTTCCTGCCATCCTCCCTCCCCCCCCCGACATCTATCACTCCAGCGGCTTTTTAACTGCTCCATGGGGTCTACAACTAGAGGCCTGAACTCTCTTTCAGACCTGCTACATTCGTGGCAGGCACTGAATAAGAAAGGGCTGTTGGGGCAGCTGGGCACGGTGGTGCCTGCCTATAAGCCCAGCACTCAGGGAGGTAGAGGCAGGTGGATCTCTCTGAGTTCGTAGGCAAGCCTGGCCTACAAAGTGAATCCAAGACAGCCAAGGCTACACAGAGAAACCCTGTCTCGAAAAACAAAAGAGGAGGAGGAAGAAGAGGAAGAAGGAGAAAAAGGAGAAGGAGAAGGAGGAAGAAGAAGAGGAAGAAGGAGGAGGAGAAAAAGGAAGAGAAGGAGGAGGAGAAGGAGGAGAAGGAGAAGGAGGAGGAGGAAAAGAAGGAGGAGAAAGGGCTGTTGGGCTGAGGAGATGCCTCAGTGGGTAAGTCCTGATTCCTAAGTGTAGAGGCACACACCTGTAAACCCCAGGATTTGGCAGGTAGAGGCTAAAGGATCCGGAGTTGATCACCATTCCCAGCTACAGGGTGAATCTGAAGCCAGCCTCACACATGAGACACTGCCTCAGACAAACAAAAACAAAAACAAAATGTCTGGGCAATTGTGGAGGCCTGCCTGTAACCCCAGCTCTCAGGAACTTGAAAACAGGTGATCCGTGGAGCAAATGTGAGTAGCCAGACCGGCTCGAATCGGAGGTCAGTCTCTGTTTTCCACATACATGTGTATCGACACACACATGCAAAAAAGGGGTCCTGTCATCTCGCTGCTCTGCTGCAGAAGCCATAAGGGCTACTGAGAACTTGACCTTGAATCTCGAAGGGCTTTAGCTAGGAATCCACAGTGGGCTCTGTCCTCCTGGACCCCACCCATTGCATCATAGCTGAGGTCAGGGTCCTCCAGAGGGAGGCAGACAAAGGCTGTCTGCCACCAAAACCAGTACGGAATGGAATCACTTTGAAGCCCAGGATCTCAAGCTAAGTGGCTGGACTGAAAAAGCACTGTGGATTGCTAAGTCCTCTGCTGAGCGCCCTCCTTAGAAATACCAAGGACTTCGACAGTGCTCCCAGAAGAAGGACGATAATCCCTACCACACTCCTAGGATGCCAGGCAGCAGGGCACCAAAGGGAGACTAGCTACTTCTCTTCTGAGACCAGCTCTTCTGGGCTTGCCCATAATTTAAACTCTCTTTCCCTCAGACCTTCCCTGAGGGCAAGGAGAGCCTGAAGGGTCAAAGACCCTCTGCTCCCCGGAGGTCTAGAGCAAAGCTACTAAGCAACACAGAAGTCCCGGATGAGCAACCCCAGACAGCCCATCTGGGAGGATGGCTAGACAGCACCCCCTCTAGCATGTGACCTGGGGTCACTAGCCTCACTCAGCCTCCCACCTGGTACAAGGACAGAATGAAGATGGACACGTGCGTCGCCCTGTACCTGACTCGCAGCAGTGGCCCTGATGTGGTCCTGCCATCCTGCCAGGATCTGTTCTTGCCTGTGTCCTGCTGGAAATGGTTCTCCTCCCTCCCCCACCTCTCACCCGGGGAAACCACTGCGCTTCTGTGGGAACTAGAGGCACAGCATTTCCTCCATGAGACTCTCCCTGACTCGCCGGAGTCCTAGGCCTTGGCCTGTGTGCTCACGCACACAGCACACGTGTCCACTCCGCTGCAGCCACGTGCGCACAGAACCATAGTGGCCGCTCTGTTGCCTTCCTGTTGGGCTGCGGGCTCCCGCAGAGCGGAGCCTCAGTCCTTCTGAGATTCTGACACCTACCTGGGCCCAGGGCAGGTGCTTGATAAGTACTAAAGACACGTGAATGGACTCATGGCAGCCGGACCGGGGGCCGAGGCAGACGGGAGCGAACTGAATCCTTTCCCTGTCCCGGCCCAGGTAGGGAACCAGCTGCTGCTGGCAAGTCGGTGAGCATACTCAGAGGTCAGTGCCGGCTGGCCTCGGGTGGGACTGGCAAGCGTGGCAGGACACGTGAGAGAGGTGGGCAGGGGAGGGACTGGATTCACGGTGACTCACGTTTCTCCGCCTTTTCCCTGAGTATCTCCCTGTAGTTCGTTTTCTTAAGTTCTTGGATGAGTCCCTTATTGGCGTCATCTAAGGCCTGTGGAGGGCAGAGGAGCTGGTGAACTTTTGGACTTTTTTTTTTTTTTTTTCTTTGTGACAGGGTCTCACTGTCTATCCCTGGCTGACCTCAAATTCCTGATCCTCCTGCCTCTACTTTCCAAGCGCTGGCCTTACAAGCATGCGCCACCAGCCCCGGCTGCTTGGCCTGTGTTGAAACAGGGTCTCACTTACGAGGTACAAACTGGTCTCAAAATCATGGTCATCGTACCGTACACAATCGTCTGCCTCAGATGGGATTAGCAAGCCTCCCTGACACCCTGCTTTCTGTGGGACCGTGAAGGCTCCATCTTTGTCATGGTAGTCTCGGAAGCTGGCACTGGGCACAGTACCTGCAGCATTAGGATGTGTAGTGCTGGGTGCTGCTGCTCTTTCGCAGCATAGTGCTAGGGCCTTGCCCTGTCAGCTCTAATGCATGGAGACGGCAATGTAGGAGGGTGAGGGGGTCACAGACCTGGTCCCACAAGGAGCCACTGAGGATCAACTGATGAAATGACTGCCCAACCTTGAGGGTAACCTCATTCCCTGCCTCAGGGGTAGCCTCCGGCCCTGCCTTCCAGGGGACTGGGGCTCTCACTCTGAATCTTGCTGATCCCTTACGATGCTGGTCACAAACTGGAGCTTGGGCTTTGGTCTCAGTTTTCCTGCAGACACTAAGCTTCTTAGGGGCCAGGACCGTAGCCAGCCACCCACAGACTCGGCTGCCTCACACTCACTGTGCTCAGTAAATACTTGTGCTTTCTGAGGGTGGTCACGTGGGACAGGGTCACGTCTGAGAGGCTGTTAAGTGAGACTCGTGGAGCACATGGCTGGGCGGGGGCGAAGGTGGGCAATCTCCTCTAGCAGGCCAGAGGCACGGGTGAGGTGTGCCTCGCAGGGGCTGTCCCTCCATGAGAACCAGGCGGCCATAGGGCAGGCCTAAGCCACTCTGAGGCAGGGGCATTCACTGGGGTCTCTTGGGAGGGATTTCACCACTGCAATACGGAAGCGAAAGCATTGGCCTTACTACGACGGTTCCAAACACACCACAAACTGTCCTCTCTAAAGGTCTCTTTGCTGACATCCCCTGTCCCTCCAGTGCAGACTCCTCAACCCCGCCCCATGCCCTGCTCTACCTGACCAATCCTGCATGCTTGTCCTCCGAAGCTCAGCCCAAGGCCCATCTCCTGTTGGGTCACTGTCAAGGTGCCCTGTACCTTTCTCAAGCTCCAGCCACACACACACCCCTCCAGTCTGGCCCCTCTGGCCATGGCAATGTAGCTGAGTTCTGTGCTCTGGCCTCTCAGTCGGGGGCCTGCTCTAGCGATGATTATGGGGGCTGTGGGGGGGGGGTTACTACCTGTGTGCCTCAGGAATTTCCCTGTGGGAAAGGCCTGAGGAATGTGACGGGCAGCAGGGGGTGGATGGCTGGGAGATTCCTGAAGTGGGCAGCACTGGACTTGGCTGAGGTTCTACATCTGCCTGGAGCAATAGCACTGGGAGGAGGCTGGGGTGGGCTAGATGAGGCTGAAGTAGCTCCTGGCTTTGCCTCACTCAACTGCTGGACTCTGCCTGCTGGCACATCTGGTCTCAGCCCGCACTGCCCAGCAGGAACGTCCCCAGCGATGGTACTATTCTGTACAATATGGTCCCCACCAGCCACACGTGGCTACTCTGCACTTGAAATATGGCTAATGGCTATAAAGCGGAACGTGACCTCATACTACATTTAATTAACCTAAGTAGGCTAGCAGCTGCTTCCTGAGCAAGCCTAGGTGATTCCAAACCAAGGAGTGGAAGAAGGTCCCAGGGAGAGGATCTCCTAGCCTAAACTTAAGGGTTGGCTCAGAGCCTCTTGGGAGAGGCAAACCGGGAGGACTTGAACATTCTAGACAGAGACTGAAGCACTGGTTCATAGGCACAAGGCTATCTTTGGGGAAACGGTAGGAGGCTCTCTGTGGCTGGGGTGGAATGGGCTGGAGAGCCCCACGGGAAGGTTACCAGAGGCCTGGGGGTCATGCTAACTTTCAGCTGTCCCTGCAGGAGGCAGTAGTTTTCAAACTGCAGGTCCTAAAATCAGTTTAGAAAGTCTTGGTCGGCCGCTGAGGAGATGGCACAGAGGCTGTGCCCATTTGGGCACAATCCTGGGAATTAGTTTGGAGCCCAGAACCCAGCATTCCAGGTGGATGTGGCGCCCTCCTGTCATCCAGTCTCAACAGGCAGAGACAGGGGACACTGAGTGAGTGAGACTCCTAGCTACTGAGACACACACATTCACACACACACACAATGTCAAGCAGCATTAAACAAAGGAAAACAGAAAGCCGTGTATAATGCAATGGCCTACATTTATAGTCTTACAGTCCCAGCTTCTCTGGAGCCTGAGGCAGGAGGACCACTTAAAGTCCAGGACACTGAGGTCAGCCTGGGCAATGTAAAGATTCCTCATATCAAGTAAATAAATAAAGAGATTAATAAATAAGAAGATGGTAGGAAGCGTCAGGGTGCACAGCACGTTGAAGAGGTGAAGACGTTTGGTAAAAGATTTGTTTCTTTTTCATTTGTTTGTTTGTTTCAGTAAAACCACTCAGGCCCAGGTATAGTGGTGCATGCTTATAATCCCAGCACTCTGGGAGGCAGAGGCAAGCTGATCGCTATGAGTTCAAGACCAGCCTGGTCTAGAAAGTGAGTCCAGGATAGCCAAGGCTACACAGAGAAACCCTGTCTCAAAAAACAAACAAACAAAACAAGCAAGCAAACAAACCACTTGGATGGGCCGCTGTACAGATGACCAGCAGTGGCTAAGGTCACAGGCAGCGCCCTGCCAGCATGTGTCCTGTGACAGGTGGCTGACAAGCAGCTGGGGAAGGCCCAGGATTGCTGCAGGCCTAACCCCCCACTCCCGCTCCCCCCCAGCCCAGCAGGTGACGAAGGCTCACGCTGATGATGGCCTGCTGCGCCTCATTGTTGTGGACCAGCTTGGCTCTCTCCAGGGCCTTCTCAAAGTTGGTCACAGCTGACTCGAAGTCTCTCAGCTTTACTGGAGAGCGGGGGGGGGGGGGGGGGGGGGGGGAGGCAGAGGACAAACTGAGACACTTTGTACGGCTTGACAAAGCCCCTGCCCAGTGTGCCCGGCCACTCCCAGGACCCATCAGAAATCTGCGTCCAGAGAATCAGCCCCAGGTGATCATCGCTGAGCTGCTCAGCCCCATCCTTGGAGCATGTTCCTGGTCTGTGCAGCACGGAGGACCAGGACACAGGGGCCAACAATTAGTTCCCAGGCCTCTCAAAGGAGTCAGTGAGGGGAGAGGTCTTAGGAGAGGAACAGTGCACCGCGCATGTATCTCCAGGGTGGCAAATGTAACCCCATCTGGAAATGGTTACTGGAGAGGCAATCTATACTTTTGAGATAGTTTTTTACGCTTCCTGAAAACACTGCATAGGGTGGGGCTGGGGACGTGGCCCAGTTGGTAGAGGCTATCACGCATGAAGCCCTCAGTCTGACTCCCAGCCCTGTGTAAACTAGGGGTGGTGGCACACCCCTGAACCCCAGCCCTTGGGAGGCGGAGGCAGGGGAAGTGTAATGTCCTTACTGGCTGTGTGTCAAGTTCAAGACCAGCCTGGGACACATAAGACCCTGTCTCGTCTTTCTTTAAAATATACACAAAACAAGATGGGGAGATAAAAGAGACATCTCCATCTCCATGGGTAAAGGCACTTGCTTTGCTTGTACCTCAGATCTCTGGTACCTACGTAAAGCCAGGCTGTGTATACCTGTAGCCCCAATACTGGGAGGCAGATACAGGTAGATCCCGGGAGTTCAGTCGCCAGCAGACCTAACTGAGAGGAAGACACCGTGCATCCTCCTCTGGTCTCCCAGTCTGCGTGTGTGGATGCACTCGACACAACATGTGCACGTCACCGTCATCCCCCAGGAAGGAAGCGCAGATATACCCACTGTTACCATAGTGGCAGGAAAGTTACGGAAAGAACCAACCATTTGGGGGGGGGGAGGGGGAAATGGGTGGGTATTTGAGGCCCCAGTCTACGAGATGGTATCTATAGCGCAAGAACCTGTGGCCAGCCAAGCCACAAGGCCCTAGGAGAGAGCCTGCTACTATCACTGTGCTGAATGAACACAGCGGTCAACTGACTCCCGGTTGCTCGGTGCATCTCTCAACTCTCAGCAGAGAGGCTTCCTCTTGCAGCAAATGGCACTTAGCACGGAGACCCACAACTAGTGAACACCCAGAGAATAACAGACTGCAGAGTGCCCATCCTCAGGGGGATACATCATCCCAAGTCTCAGGGATCCTTACAGAGGGAGGAGAAAGACTGCAGGAGCCAGATGGATGACTTCACAGAGACAGTGTTTTCTGAACACAACAGGGTAGCTGTAATATAAACTCACAGCAGCCAGGACAGCATGCGTAAGAATCCCGGCATGGAAGGGCAGACGTGGCACAAATCTCCCACTCCTAGCTGAGGAGCAACTGGCACTTGCTAGCTGCCAGGAGATAGAGAGCCAGGTTTCTTTAATGGTGTGACACCCCCATCCCCCCCCGTAGGCTGATCACACTCTAGGGCAGGCCCCACACCCGGAACAACAATTTGTGTTGGGCAACAGAAATTGGACTTAGTGGTTAAAAGACATAAAGATAACGCAGAGTTGGGTGGGGGAAGGGAAGCGGCGGTAGATCTGGGAGGAACTGGAGGAGGGGAGGTAAAACTGTGAAAATCTTCAAAGGGCCAATAAAAATATCATCTGGAAATTAAAACAAAGCCAGCTGGTAGTGGGGCACACCTTTAATCCCAGCACTCGGGAGGCTGAGGCACAGGCAGGTGGATCTCTGAGTTCGAGGCCAGCATGAGTTTCAGGACAGCCAGGGCTACACAGAGAAACCCTGTCTTGAAAAACAAACCTAACTAACTTAATTAGTTAGTCGATTAATTAAAACAAAGCAAGCAGATAGAGAAGCAAACAAACAAAACGTCGAGTGGATTGTCCTCATTTTCAACATTAAACTAAGGGTGGAAGTGTAGAGACGATAGGCTCGGGCCTTGGGACTCTCATCCTCAGGCCTGGTGCCAGGAGAGAAAGGTAGGATGGGAGTCTCTGAGCCCGTACCTTGGGCCTGGGCCACTAGAACACTGGCATTCAGCTGCCACTCCAGGTCTCCTTCCTCCTCAGCATACTGTTGAGACTTTTCACCATAACTCTGGGCCTGCGATGCCTGGTCCAGCTCCAAGTAACAGCGGCCAATCTCATGGAAGAGCCAGGTCTTCTCCAGGGTGGTTTTGGATAGAGGGATCTTCTCCTCCCATCTGAGGAAGGAAGGACTGGGTCAGCTCCCTTCCAGCTCTATGCGCTGCCACAGCAGGGCCTGGCTTCCGTGGGTGCAGAGCGAGACTCATTCTTCCAGCTCGGTCTAGCGTGGAATTAGCAAGTAGCAACATACTTCCAGCTGCCAAGGCTATTTTGGTTAATATCTGTAGAATCAAATTTGGCCATCACCGTTGAAAAGAATGCTTGAAAAGAGCACCTGAGGGCTGGGGGTGTGGCTTAGCAGTCCAGTAGCTGCCCAGTAAGCACAAGACCCTAGACTAATCCCAGCACCACAAAAAACAAACGGTAAGAAAACAACCAAAGCAGCCCAACTAACTCCAGAACAGCCCTTCGGAATTACTGGGTTAGGCTCGGTGGCACAGACCTGTAATTCCAAGTAGTGGGGAGGGTAGGTCAAGAGAGAGAGAGTTCAAGCACTCTGAGGGAAACCCTATTTCAAATACAAGGCCAAAAGAAGGCCAGAGTATGAATGAGTGGCAGAGCACCTGAGTTCAATCTCTAGTACTGAGAGAGAGAGAGATAGAGATAGAAGCTAACTAAAAGTATAAGAGCGTAAAGGCAGTGGGGGGAGGGGGGAAGATTGGAACGAAAAGAAGTACTAGCCAGCTCACCCCTGTAATCCCAGTACTTGAGGCCACCTCAGCTGCAAGGTGAGCTCCAGACCAGCCTGGGTTGCAGAGTGAAAGCCAGTCTGCTGGAGATGTGGCCTGGTGGAAGAGTGCAGAAGCCCGGAGTACGGCCTCAGCACCACAGAGAATGCACACAACTGACAGTAGAAGCAAGAGGATCAAACGTTCAAGGCTCAGCTCGGGCTGGAGAGATGGCTGGGAGGTTAACAACACTGGCCTTTCTCCTGAAGGTCCTGACTTCAATTCCCAGCAACCACATGGTGGTTCACAACCATCTATAGTAAGATCTGGCGCCCTCCTCTAGGTGTGCAGGCACACATTCAGGCAGAATGCTGTATAAATGATAAATAAATAAACAAATAAATCTTTACCACCCCCACCTCCCAAAAAAGTCCAAGGTCATCCTTCACTACAGAGAGAATGTGAGGCCAGCCTGGGCTACATAAGACTTCTATCACATTCATTAACTAGTTAATTAATTAAAGGAATAAAATAGAATAGATAGTTAATCTTTGGGTGGTCTAAATTTTTTCCCTCTCCTTTTGTTTTTCAAATTCAGAAACAAAAAGCATGTATTACTTGTGAAACACTTTATTACAAGAAGACACTGAGGGTGGGTAGGCTCTCATACTCCTCTCTCAGCACACAGACAGCAAGTCATGTGATCTGGAAGGATGCTTGGTAAACAAGTGTCAAGAGGCCTGAAGGACAAGGATAAGGTCTCTCCAGAAAAAGATAGTTGCACCCAAAGAGCTGGCTCTCCAGGTCTGGGCTGCCTCGGAGGCTCCTTAGGGCCATGTCCACCCACCCCACTGAGCAGATAACCAACCTCAGGGTTAGACCTCAAATAGACCAGCTGGAGAGTTGAGATACTGTTCCCTGGAACCCCACTCAGTGACACGGGGTCACGGAAGGGGCCCTGAGGAAGCCACAAAGGTTGCTTGGTCCTTGCCACACAAGCCTGGTGACCTGAGTCTGATCCTAGAACCAGTGTAAATATGGAAGGACAGATCTGACTCCACAGAGTTCTCCTCTGTCCACCATGTGTACAGAGGAGGGGGGCACACATGCCTGTTCCCCACCTCACACCATGCATACAACATACATGCAATAGTAATACTAATTTTATTATTTTTATTTTTAATTTAATTTTATTTTTTATTTTTATTTATATTTATTTATTAAAATTTTTATTTTAAATTTTATTATTTTTATTTTATATTTATTTTATTATTTATTATTTTATCATTTTAAAAAGTGAGTTCATGAATCCTGACCTTCACCCTAGGATTAGAATTTGCTGGGGCAAGACCAACCCAGCCTTGGGTTTGATTCCCCAGCACCAAAGAATAGGGCTTCAATCGTCACCCAGCAGAGACAAGAGTCTAGGTCAACTGGTTCTCTTTTCCTTTCTTTCTTTTCCTTCCTTCTGACCTCCCCTTTTCCCCTCCTTCCTTCTCTTCCTTGTCTTCTTACTGCTCCTCCTCAGCTTCTGAGATGGGGTTTTGCTGTGTAGCTCTATCTGGCTCAGAACTCCTGGCAATGCTCCTATCTCAGCCCCCTGAGTAACCAGGATTATTGTCATGACCACCACACCCAGGTCTAAGTTCGGTTCATTTACTAATGCCTCTTTGTCTGGCCTCATGTCCCTAGACTGGAATCCCAGGGTGAGCTAGGGAAGTCCCAGTTCCCCGGGTGGAGAAGGGGCAGTTTGTGTTAACTCACGTGTCAATGGCTTGCTGGAATTTCCCAACTCTGGCAAAAACTCTGCCAATATTGTCAAGGGCCCTCGATTTTGCATCTGGAATGTCACTATGGAGGAGAAGAAAAAACAGCCATTAAATAGAAATCAGATGTTATGGTAAAAAAGGCAAATACCGGGGCCCCAGCTCCAGGAACTCAGGGTTCCAAGCGGAAGCTGTCCAGGTTGGCAAGGCTGTGTCACACAGGCCCATCTGTGCCCTCTGCCTGAGATGGCGTCATCCGGGTCTTTCCAGGGTTGACGGCTTACAGAGAAGTTCCTTTGGTCTAATAATTTTCCTCCTAGAACTTACCTCAAGATAATGCAATAAGAACATCAATTAAAATGTTTCTTATTTTAGAAACAATTTATTAGGGGCAACCTAACAGTGGCAATCGATGTATGAAGTGAGGGAGTCAGGGAGCTGGGGGCGGGGGGAGGTCAATCATGCAGTGCTTGCTTAGCGTGCACAGGACCCTGAGCTTTCCCCAGCAACAGAGGGGGAAATATATCTAGGTGGGTCTATGCTGGTGGCTTTGGAGATGCAGGAGGGGCATAGGAGCCATGGAATACCCTTAAGTGTGAGTCTGTATGTGCACATGTGTGTACACACAGAGAGAGACAGAACGCTTAGCCAAGGAAAGTAGAAAAGTAGGCCCCAGGTATAAGAAAAGACAACGTGCTAAAGGAACAGGCAAAGGTTGCCACAGGTGGATGCCCAACACCCCTTTCTGGCTTCCCCTGGACTTCATGCACACACCCCCACCACTGCCATGTACAAATACAACCACACACAGACACACACATGCACAAAAAAACAGAAACAAAAACAAAAAACAAAAACACTCCCTCGCACTGTCAAAGGGAACAATTAAAACTTAGCTTAAAGATTTTAATTAGCAGCCAGGCGGTGGTGGTGCACGCCTTTAATATTCAACACTCAGGAGGCAGAGACAGGTGTATCTCTGTGAGTTCAAGGCCAGCCTGGTCTACGGAGTGATTCTAGGACAACCAAGGCTACACAGAGAAACCCTGTTAGGGGAGGAAGGGGAGGAGTTGGAGAGATGGCTCAGTGGTTAAGAGCCCTGTCTGCTCTTTCTAGAGGTCCTGAGTCCAATTCCCAGCAACCATGTGGTGACTCACAACCATCTAAAATGGGATCTGATGCTCTTTTCTGTCATGAAGGCATACATGCAAATAGAGTGTTCATATGTACACATCTTTTTAAAAAAAGAAAACGAAACAAACAGAAATCTTAGTTGGCTTTATTTTTGGTTCTGGAATTGGCAAGATCTCATTCCACAAAATAGAATCATTGTTCCAATAAACTGAACAGAGTGATTATATAACTAGAAAGGGGTTCAAGAAAACACAGAGAAGCAACAAAAAGACAGTGGAAGAAGATGGAGGATGATGGAGGAGAATGGAAGAGGATAGCCATTTCCAAATTACTCTCCATGTAAAGCTGTGATACAGAGACAAAAGAATATAAAAATAAGATTGGCTAAGATCAGGTTACTTCCTGTTAGCTTTCCCCTGTAAGGGTTATGGCAGAGAGAGACTTTATTATCTTGCCAATTAAAATTGGCCCATTTGTGAAACATGGCAGTTAATCTCTGTAATATTCTTTTCTCTGGTCAACTGGACAGTGCAGTTTCAGCTTAGTAATGTGAAATTTAGCCTGAGTGACTCCACTTTGATTTGTAACACCCCTGGCTCGCAGATCTGCTCTAATAGCAGCTCGCACTTTCCCGTCTCACACTGGCGTCTCCACAGCTTCTTTTCAGCACCTTTCTATGGAGCTGGAACCAGAGCCAGGCATGGTGGCATATGGCAGCAGTTCCAACCTACCCAGTAGGCTGCAACAGAAGGATCACTTGAGCCAGGAGTTCGAGGCCAGCCTGAGCTATACAGCAAGACTGTCATTTTAAAACAAAAACAGCCCATCATAGCGGCTCACGCATGTAATCCTAGGACTCAAGAGGCTAAGGCACAAGGATCAGGAGCTCAAGGTTAGCTTTGGCTACACTGTGAGTTTGAGGTTAGCCTGGGCTAACCTTGCCTCAAAAACAAAACCAAGCAAAGCAAATCAAAACAAAACAAAGGAACAGATTGTGACCCTCTTGCTGTACATTTGCACTGGAGATTGAACCCCACTCTAGCCTTCAAAGCAGCCCGCCTGGCGCTGCTAGAAGGTCACTCTAAGGACAGAAATTAACCTGTGACATCAGCAATAGCCACATGTGAGACTCCTCTGCCGGTACTCAGACCTTACACCTTCCAAGACGTCATGGACCAGAGCACAGCCCCAGGCTCACTCACTCCCCACTGAGCGGCTGACAGCTTCCTCGGCTTTAGCCTCAGAATGCCCAAGCAAACATGAAGTCTCCCACAGTGTACAGGGTCTCAGCCTTCTGTAAGATCCCAGGCGGAGGAGACCCCCAGGTCTCATTCGTTTAAAAAACACAGAAATGAATTCTTGTTTTGAAAATCCTCTGTATGTGTCTAAGTACCTGAGCATGTCATAATCTAAGAGAGCCAGAGGAACATACTCCAGAGGGGAAGTGGATAGAAGGAGGATGAGAGACTCCTTTGGAGTTTCAAATCAAACCCAGCATGGCGGAACTTTTTGTACAACAAACTCCCTTATAGGCCTCAGCTGCCCATGGCCCTGGTCCCTAGACCATCATACAACCTGCAGCTCCCCAAATCCCCCATATTCCCATATTTCTTCCCATGTTTCTCCCCACGTCCACTGTGAGCCCCCCGGTCCTGAGTCCCCTCTCTTGTAGTGTTCCTGCCTGTGTCTCTCCATGGACCCTCGGCCAAACTTTTCATGAGCTGCTCTTACAGTTCATCTAAGATACGTTTCCCCTTCCAGAGTGGGCTCCCTTGGGGCTAGGAGGATGGTCCAGTGATCATCAGGCCTGCTAGCATGCACAGAGCCCTGGTTGGATCTACAGCACCAGCAAAAATTAAAGACAGATGGAGTGGGTTCTCTGCTGTGTAGTGATAGGTAAACGCAAACCGAGCTGGCCTCGAACTCACAAAAAATACTCCTGACTCTGCCTCCTGAGTACTGGGATGAAGGGCATGGTCACCCTTATGTCTTTAATCCCAGAACTCAGAGGCAAGGCACAAGTGGATCTCTCTGAGTTTGAAATCATATCGGTCTATACAGTGAGTTAGGTGAGCTAGGGGTACAAAGTGCTTTAAAAAAAAGGTGTGTGTGTGTGTGTGTGTGTGTGTGTGTGTCTGGAGAGATGGCTCAGTGGTTAAGGGTACTGGCTGCTCTTTCAGCGGACCTGAGTTCAAATCCCAGCACCCACATACAGGGCAGCTCGCAACTGTCTGCAACTCCAGGATCTGACATTCTCACATAGACATACTTGCAGGTGAGAGACACCCATGCACCTAAAATGACGGTAAATGGATTTAAAAAGGAATGAGGGCTGAATATGTAGCTCAGTGTTAGCGTACTTGCCTAGCATGCACGAGGCCTAGGTTCCAAGCCTCACCAACAGAAAAAAAAATTATTAGAAGTAATAAAAAGCTAATAGTAAGGGCTGGGGACATAGAAAAGGCTCTGTGTTTGATCCTGCAACTGCCACATAGACCTGGCATGACGGTGCACACCTATAACCCCAACAGCCACGAAGTTAGAGGGGTCACGGCCGTCCTGGTGCACACCTGTTAAGCAGGTGGAGCCAGAAGGTGAAGGAGTCCACAGTCACCCTCAGCTACATAGTGAATTCAAGCCAACCTGGGCTACTCGAAATCCTATCTCAGTTCAAACTACAACAGGCTACCAGCAACATGAAGGCACATAAATCCAATGCACATCCACCCAAGAAAAGAAATGAGGGCTGGAGTACCCAGAAGCCTCTGGCACAAGTCGTTGGCTAGTCTGTAAGTGGCTGACTAGAACGAGGGGGCGGGGTACACAGAACTCACCTAGACTAGAGTTCCCAGGTAAGGCCCTATTTGCAGATGCTGAAAAGGCACGAACTAGACAGGCCAAATGATCTGTGCTTGTAAAATCAGCTCCTGGGAGAGAGAGGCAGGAGGATCAGGAGTCAGAGGGCAGCCTGGGGCTAGATGGTGAAATCCTGTCTGAGAACGCGCAAAAAAAAAAAAAAAAAAAAAAAAAGAAATAAAGAAAGAATGTCAAGAATACTGCTTTGGGGCTGGAGAGATGGCTCAGCGGTTAGGAGCACTGGCTGCTCTTCCAGAGGCCCTGAGTTCAATTCCCAGCAACCACGTGGTGACTCACAACCATCTATAATAGAATCTGATGCCCTCTTCTGGCGTGCAGGTGTACATGCAGATAGAGCACTCATATACATAAAATAAATAAATCTTTAAAAAAAAAAAAAAAAAAAAGAGTACTGCTGGGCACCCAGTCACTTAACATTCTTGTTATAACGAAGAGAACGACCTTGCAAGAGAATGACCTTCTTCCCAAAGCCCAGCGTCTAAGAGGACTTATAGGACAGAAAGGAACAGGGGTGGTATTTCTATACCCTTTCCCCCACTGCTACCCCCAGAGTGAGACTCTAAACTTAAAAGGTGAAGATTGAGTGGGAGTGGCTTGACAGAGTGAGCTCTAAAGCTCTGAAGAAAGAGACACCCTGTTGAAGGAGGCAGAAGCAGCCCGAAGCTGAGATCCTTTTAATGGCCTCAGGCAGGAACGACCTGCACAGAGCTCTTTGCTGGCTGAGACCCAAAGAAAGCCAGGCTGGTTGAGAATATGTTAAGCCAGGAAGAGCAGCAGCTTGTAGCCACTGGGCTTTCCTTTCATGGAAGGGCCAGCTGAGGAAGGCCAGGGTGGGTGGCCAGGGCGTGAACAGAACAGAGGGAGGATGGGGGGTCCGAAGCCTTCTGGGTTTCCTCCTGGCTGTCTATGGCTCAGGGGCTCCTGGAGCAAGATGTTTGGGACAGACGTAAGAGATACACAGGGGCTGGTTAAGTGTGGGTCTGCCATGTTTCAAAGAGAAACACCTTGGAGTCGTTAAACATTTAGGGCCAGGGCTTGTGAGGGAAGAAGTGAAAACATCTATAGGAGATGGCTGCATCCAAGTATTATCTACACACTTTTTTTTTTCTTTTCTCTTTGAGACAGATTCTCACTATGTAGACCTACTTTTGCCTCCCAAGTGCTAGGACTAAGACATTCGGAGCAGGCATGTTTTATTTAACCCTCGTGACCCCTGTCAGGTGGTATTATTGGATCTTCAGTACAGGTAAGGAAACTGAGGGATGAGCAACTTAAACCCACACACCTCTCAGTGACAGAGCTAAGAATCAAGGACACATCTGTCTCCAACTCAGGGTCTATCCCATCCCCTTGTTCTTCCTCCTTAGCCCTTGGGAGACATACAGGAAATCACCCCGGAGTGGATGGCATTGAGGGCGTGGCTAAGTGAGGACAGGGCAGGAGCCAGTGTGCACTTCAGGCAACCGGGGGCTAATGGCTCAGAAAGTGAGCATCTGTTATCTTGGGAAGCCTTGAGTCTCGGAGAGAGCCCACTTCTGGAAGTGTTGCTGGTACTATTTGTTATTGTTTTGTTTCTCTAAACAGGGTATCACTGTGTAGCCCTGGCTGTCCTGGAACTCGCTCTGTAGACCAGGCTGGCCGTGAACTTGGAATTAAAGGGGTGGCCACCATTGCCCAGACAATATTACTATTATAATGGATGCTAGGTACTTCGCTGATGGTCAGCAGAAAGGAGAGTTGACGAACGGTGGTGCAGCTGTGGAAACCTGTGGAGACAGCAAGAGCGAGGGACCAAAAGAGGAAGAGCAGCAGCTTCGGCGAAGGGTTGAAGCACCGAGTGAAAATGGGGTAGTACAGTTTGAACAGGAAGTGCCTCCCCAAAGGGCTCATGTGTTAAACCTTGGTCCCCACTTGGCGGCAGTATTGAGAAGAGATGAGAGCAGGAGAGACTCAACAATCCATTGATGAGTTCTTCCTGATGGCTACTGAGAGGTGGGGCCTGACTAAGGAAGCAGGCTGCTGGGAACAGTCATTGAGGGTCTTATCCCTGACCCTCTCTCTCTGCTCACTGGCTACATGCCGTCAAGGGAGCGGCTTTCAAATGTCTCCCCACGCTGCTGTTTCAGCCTTGCCACACTGGCCTCAGAGCAGCGGAGTCAGTCTTCATGAGATGGGAGCGAAATAAGTCCTTGCTCCCTTAAGCTGTCTCGGGGTATTTCGTCACATCGAGCAACACACAGAGTGGCAGGAGATGGAGAAGGAAGGGTTTAGAACTTCAGGGTGAGTGGACACTGTAGCCAAGAAGGACCCCAAATGACTTAGGGTCAGGATGCTCAGGGCTGGCGGGAGGAGAGGAGAGGGGATGGACCGCTCAGTGGGTGAAGGCGCCTGCTGCCAACCTCCTGGCCTGAGTTTGATCCTGAGACCCACACGGTGGGAGAAGAGAACTGATTCCCACAACTGGTCCCTTGACCACACACATGCTCCGGCATGCCCATGCATACACACATACAATGAGTAGACACACAAATAAATATGTATTGGATTTAAAAAAAAAAAAAAAATCAAGATGCCCAGAAAGTAATGGCCCCTGTCAGGAAGTTTCAAGTGGAGAACAGCTCGTTTCGGGGCGACTTGGTGAATAGTGGAAGCTGCAGTCCTAGGTCTCTGTTCTTCTCTTGTGTGCACATGGGTATGGTTTGTCTGTGTGTCCGTGCGTATGTATGGCATGTCTCTCTGTGCATCTGGTAGGTCTCTGTGTATGGTATGTCTGTGTGTGTGTGTGTGTGTGTGTGTGTGTAGTACATATCTGTGTGTGTCTGTGTGTGAACTGGGACTGGCTGAGCCCAGGGCCTTGGATATGCTAGGCAGTTAGTTGCTGTACCACTGACCTACAACCCTAAGCCCTACAGTCTCAAGTCCCAGGCCTGTACCTTTCCATTCATCCTCCTCTCCATGCCAGCGTAGGGACAGCCATGCCTACCTTACCGGGTGGGAACACTGAGACCGGGAGCTGAAGTGACTTCCCACAGCCCGGTCAGATCCACCGGACCCCAGGTCCTATCCTCTGGGTCACCACGTGGTTTGTGAAGCTCCCTTTGACTTTGTCTGGCTTCCTCTTGGCCCCTCTCTCACTCCAGCCTGAAGCTTCCTCCAGCCTCAGGCCTTCCCACGGGGCTGCACCAACGCCGCTGGCCAGGCATCCCCTCCTACGCATTTTGCTTTTGAGACATGACCACAACTGCAATTTAATGGCTATGCCACTTTCCCCAGATAGCCAAACCTATATCTGATCATTGCTATGTTCCTCATGCTAGAAATACCTGGTATGCCTGGGGCCTGAAACAAGAATTAAAATTTTAAAAAAATCCCCAAGAGCCAGACCACTAGGAACTTGTTGGAATTTTGAGCCGTTATGCTCCTGGAGATGACCAAAAAAGCTACCAGCCTAGGTAGGTTTGCCTTCTAACCCCGGTCCTGAATATTCCGCCCCTACTTCCACTGGACTCTGCCTCAGGCCTGCCCTGCGGGAACAGGACTGACGTTATGAGCAGCCCTGGTAAAGGCTCTTGGAGGCCTAAGGACCTTGGCCACCTCAGGGCACTCACTATTCCTTGGCGATCTCCAGGTCCTTCCTGTGGCTCTGCAGCGCGGCCGCCATCTGCCCTATCTCAATCTGGGCGTTGCCGATGCAGCTGTACAAGTTCCCGACAAGTTCATCCTTGTTGGGCACGTCGTCTTTGTTCCATTCCAGAACCTTCTTAAGTACCTTCTCAGCTTTCTGGAGGCTCCCTTCGGCGCTGCCACTGGTCAACACTGGGGAAGAGATGGGAAGAGAGGGAGGTGACAGGGAAGCGAGGGCGGACTCCTCCCCTCCCCGATAATGATAATTTCCGTCCGCGGGTCAGCAGGGGCTGGGGCTCTCGGGCTATCCCATGGCTTCCTCCCCACGGCAGAGAAGGCTACCCACACATGTCAATGTCCTCTAGGCTCTTGAGGATGTAGTGGGCCGTCTGAGAGGGACTGCGTTTCCGGTCCCTCAGCCACTTCTCCTGCATCAGCTTCCGGTCCCGCTCCCTGGCATAGATGGGCTTCTGCTGCCTCCAGAAGTTGCTGCGGGTGTCCAGGTAGTTGATGCCGCTCATGATGAGATCCTCCACCGTCAGGCCGTGCTTGATGGTGCCTTTGATGAGGTCTGCGGGAAAGGGGTTTTGGGAGGCGGCGGTGAGATCACGCACGCAGGTAGGGTTGGAGTCCCTGCTGCAGGGCCCGCCCTGTGAAGACCTATGCCTGCGGGTGCCTCATCAGTGAGGAAAGGACAAGAGTGTGGGTCACGGTGGAGAGCCAGGAGGCGGCCAAAGGCGCTTTCTTGGTACAAGCCTTTCCTGTGGCAAAATAGGAGGGACAAGAAGGGTCACCTGGACAGCCTCGACTCAGGGGTTCCTCCTTTCATGCTGTTTTCCTCGGGGAAAAAAAGGGGGGGGGGGTGTTTCTGAATGGAAAAACCTGGCCCATGTTGCCAGTCCTCATCAAGCAGCCAGGTGCCAAGTAAGCTGGTGCATTCTGGGAGCTGTAGGGATGTGCCCTTATCGTATCTACTTGTGCGGCCAGGGGTTAAGGGCCAATTGCCCTGATGCAAGACCACCTGGGGTAACGCTGAGGCCACTCCTGCCCTCTCCTGCAGGTCCTCCGGAGAGCAGGAAGCCTTCAGGCCTGCTACAGAGGAGGTGTGCCAGGCCTAAAGGTGTGTGCCACAACCCTGGGGGCACCCTGCAGCTGACCTTAAGAGACCAATTCTGGAGAGAGGGGATCTGCTTCCAGTGTGACCTCCCCCCACCCCCAACCTGCCCCAAGGCTTATCAGTTCACGGCAGTACCCCGACACCCCGTAAGCTTCAGGGCTCTGTCAGTACCGGTGTGATGGAATGTGTGTTGCAATGGATTCTGTCTGTGATGCCACCACTAACTTGCTCGTCACCTTGGATGTTCAGTGAGTTCTACTTCCTCGTCTATGAAATGAGGGATGGACCGCACATTGGTTCAGAACACGTAGTACTCGTGTGCTCAGATCCCTGCGCCTGTCTGTCAGGTTCCTTCACCCCACTGCCCCGCTGCACGGGCTGTGGAGGTGATTATCATTTGCATCTTGAATGTCCCGCCCTCAACGGCCTCATGGTTTAGGGCTTGGTTGAAGAACCTTTAGGAAGTGGAAGCTATTGGAAGGATGTTAGGCTGTCTGGGGCATTCCTTCCAAGGCGGGGAATTGGAACCTCTGCCCCTTCTTCTGTAATGACTTCTTGGCCACCTCTGCCATGCTGGGTGCTCCCCACTACGGTGCCCTGCCTCAGCACAGTCCCTGAAACAGTAGTTACCTGAATACCTGAGTATGAAGTCTCTGAAACTTTTGTGTGTTGCCCGGGGGGGGGGGGGGGCAGTGTCTTACTATATAGCCCTGGCTGTCCTGGAACTTTCTGCGTAGACCAGGCTGGCCCTAAACTCACAGAGACCCACCTGCATCTGTTGGAATTAAAGGTATGGGGGTCACCGTGTCACACCGGTATCTTTCCCTCTCACAAACTGGTCATCTCGGATGTTCTGTCACAGTGATGGAAGGTTGACAAGGGAGCCCACATACTGGAAAGTAGTGACCCTGAATGTGCATTTCTTGAGTTCAGAAATGAAACGTAGCATCGGGCTGGAGAGGTGGCTCAGAGGCTAAGAGCACTGTCCGCTCTTCCAAAGGTCCTGAGTTCAATTCCCAGCAATCACATGGTGGCTCACAACCATCTATAATGAGATCTGGCGCCCTCTTCTGGTGTGAAATTGTACACAGAATATTGTATACATTAAAAGAATAAAAAATAAAAAAAAAAAAAAAAAAAGAACCATAGCATTGCCTAGCCTCATGGGATGCTGTAAAGCCTGTCATGGGTCTGTGTCGGCTGCATTCCACTATAGGCTGTGCCGTGAGCACCCACCCAGGATCTCCACTGCGCCCGCCCTGCCTGCACCAACGGGCCTGAAACCTTCATCCAGAAGAAGCTTCTCCAGGTATTCCTTGTCCACGTACAGCTCCCCGAGCAGCTGCCGGACGGTCTTCTCGCTCTTGAGCGAGCCCTTTCGTTTGGGTTCGTGTTTGTTGTAGTAGAGAAGTTTCATCGGCAGAGGCTTCTGCTGGGCTTTCTTACTCTGGAAAACGGGGCAACATCCGTGGAGCGTCAGCAAGGAGCTGGAGAGTACGAAGGAGGACAAAGTGTGGGCCGAGAGCCTGAGACTGCTCAGTCCTGCTCCTCTAAGGCTCTTCTACGGGCTAAGAACCATGAAATATGCTTGGCTGGGCACAGTGGGATCCCTGAGATACCTCTGCAGCTGGGGAAGAATCTGATGGAGGCCCCTGATAGGCAGAAGCAAAATGTTCCCAGGCGGTAGGGTTTTGGAGGCACTAGTGGCCTCAGAACCAGCCACCTTACCTCGGCTTGCTTGCTTAAGAAGGAGAGGTCTCCTTTGTTCTCCAGCTTAATGGAAGAAGGACCTGGAGGACAGAGGCCGGAACTCAGCTGGGCTAAGCCTCTCAGGCATGACCGATCACATACTTTTATGTGGAAATGGCTGCCTTTGGCAAGGAGGTGGCGGGGGCTGTGGCAAAGCTGGCCTGGAGCCACTCCAATACAGGAATGGTGCAGGGTGTTTGGTAAAACAGTCTCCTAGACACTAGCCAGCCCCCACTAGCCCAAGGCCACCACAGCAAGATTTCCATATACGGGGAAATCCGGGACTCAGAGAGACTCTGTCATTTCCATACTCTGCTATCCACAGGGACAAGCTGTCACTCCTCTCTTCTCTCTGCCATGGAATTGATGGATAAAACCAGCCCTTATGTGGTGAGGGAGGAGCCAGGCTCGGAAAGGCTGGACTCAGGATCCTGCTCTAGTGTGTGTATGACTGCAGGCTTTAGAGAAGACAATTCAAAGCAGCCCGCCTAGCACAGCTAGGTCATTCCACGAACGGAATTTAGCCTGCGACACCAGCAACAGCCAAGTCTAAGTGTGGGACTCCCTGCCTAGACCGTCCCATGTCTTCCTGGATTAGGGCACAGCCCCGTGCTCACTCACTTCCCACTGAGTTGTTGATAGCTTCCTGGGCTTTCTGAATTCCGACTTTGAACTCCCGATCAGGTCTCAGTTTGTAGCCTCGGTGATAGAACACCAAAGCAAACTCAAAGTCTCCCATGGTGTACAGGGTCTCGGCCTTCTGTAAGATCCCCTGGAATGAAAGACAGTCAACTCCAGATGGGGAGAGGAGGCCTGAAAGGATTTGTGTGGTAGAATGGAAGGGTTCTAGGTTGGAGGTCAAGGTTGGAATACATGAGGCAGGGAGCCAGGCAGGCACTGAAGAGGAAAGGACATCAGACACCAGGCGATCCAGCTGGTTCTTCAACTGCTGGGAACCAGAGTCTTCCGTAATGGAAATGGCGAAAGCAAGGCCGAGCCCTCCCACCCAGCAGTCACCTTGCAGAAAGTTGGGTCACTTTGGAGTGAGGCCTCAGCATCCTTCAGGGATTTCTCCAAGTCTCCCATCTTCAGGTAACACTTGGAACGGGCAACCAGGCAGTTCTTATCTCCGCTTTGAAGGTGAAGAGCCTGACAAAGGAAACGCACTGATGGGCAGATACCGGGAAGAGCAAGGTAGCAGCCTGACCTGAGAACGGGCAGCCCACACAGCCCACACCTCCCGCAGATTTGAGGGACCCTCCAGGTCAGTACACAAACACTTGCCTCTGAGTCTCATCTGAGGCAAGCCCAACCCAGTCTTTGCTCGGCATCTCTAGCTGTATGTGGCTGATCTTGGAGAAAGCTGAATCTTGGCTACTAAGGAAGCCATTGGCTGAGACATGGGCATTACTGTGGATATATGACTTTCTGCCAAATCCTTCTAGTTTATTCCAGCAGTACAGCTTCAAGATGGTTTGTGTCTACCAAGTTCAACAAACCCCAGTTGGCTGCACACCATTCACCATGTAAATGGCAAAGGCTAAAGCAAACAAAACACATTTTAGGGCCATCTAAAACTCAGGGTGTTTATCCGCTACCTTTTATGTACAAAGATTAGGACCCAGCATTTCACAAATGTTGGGGAAAGTTTATGAGTTATGCTCCTAGCCCAGGCCCTCTCTTGCGCTAGCTCTCTCTCTCTCCTTCCTTCCTTCCCTCTCCCCCTTTCTGGTGTATTGGGGGTTTTGTTGTGGTTTGGTTTAGTTTTGAGAGATGATTTTTAAACTGCAGCCTTGATTGACCTGGAGCTTGCTATGGAGATAGGCCAGGCTGGTCTCAAGCCCTCTGCCATCCTCCTCCTTCTACCTTGTGGGAGCTGGGATTACAGAAGGGACCCCAGCCTAGCCCTTCTCTCATTTCTTCAGTCTTCAGTAGCTGGGATTATAGATGCATGCCATCACACCTGACTCAAGCTGCCGCCTTCCTCCTCCTCCTCCTCCTCTTCTTCATCTTCTTTTTTAATGTAGTAAACTGAGAATTATCACTACTATTTCAGGAGACTATGATGGAAATGTGAGGAAAACAGAAGCCATCTGGGGCCCTGGTATAAGGACTGGCACTTCCATCACTCCCCATGTCCTGCAACTTTTGGCTTTTATTTGTATTTCTTTTCTTCTTCTTCTTTTTTTTAATAATTAATTTTGTATGCCTATGTGGGCATGTGCATGGTTCTCTCATACCATGTGGGTATGGGGATCAAACTCAGCTCATCAGGCTTGGCCCAAAGTACCTTTATCACCTGAGCCATCTTTGCCAACCCTGTTTGCTTATTTCTTGAGGCAGGACCTCACGTAGTCCAGGATAGCCTCAAACTGCCCCTGTATCCTCTTGCCTTAGCCCTCCCTCAAGTGCTAGGACTACAAGCGTGTGTGTCATCACACCCAGCTATGCCGTGCCACCTTCTGACTGAGATCATTACAGCCATGGGGAATGTCTGTCCTGGTCTGTCCTACCCAGGACAGAAGAGAAGACTTCCCCAAGGGAAGGTAGCTATGTATGTGAAGCTGCCCCATTCTAGGAAAGGCAGGCATCAGACAGGCATCCCCCAGGCTTCAGACTGTGTCTGCCCTCTCTAAAACCTTCCTTCTTTTCTAGGAAGAGGAGGCAGCTGCTGTCCTTCCTAGAATGGGAGGGCCTCTCTTTCCCTTAGGGCCTTCCCATAGCTACCTGCTCTTAGGGCCATGTTCACTTTCTGTGTGAGCTGCTCCAGGCCCAGACAGCTCCCCAGGAGAAAGAATGGGCAGGGGCAGGGCTTCTGAACTCAGTCTGCCTATCTGGTCATCATTTCTCCTGAAGGGTGTGACTAGGGAAAGGGGTGAAACACTGAGGAACTGCAGAGAAGCTCAATTTTATGGAAGTCTTGGGATCGGTTACTGGGTTGACACTCCATTTAAGGGTTTGATTTCAGGACAGCCAAGGCTGTCCTGGACTCACTTAGTAGTCTAGGTTGGCCTTGAACTCACAGCAATCTGCCTGCCTCTGCCTCCCCAAATGCTGGGATTACAGGCATGTGCCCTCATGCCCGGCTCCGTTGATATGGTTCTTTTGAAACAGTTTTGCCATTTTAGCTCAGACTTGTCTTAAACTCACTATGTAGACCAGGCTGGCCCCAACCTCAAAATCTTCCTGTATCAGCCCCCTGAAAATTGGGATTACAAGTACCACCACGCCCTGCTGCCATGTCATTTGAAATAAGCAGAGCTGGGAGTGGTGGTGCATATGTTTGGTCCTAGCACTCAGGAGGCAGAGGCAATCAGATCTCTGAGTTCAAGACCAGCCTGGTCTACAGAGTTCCAGGACAGCCAGGGCTGCACAGAGAAACCCTGTCTTGAAAAACCAACAAAGGGCTGGAGAGATGGCTCAGAGGTTAAGAGTACTGTCTACTCTTCTAGAGGTCCTGAGTTCAATTCTTAGCAACCACATGGTGGCTCACAACCATCTATATTGAAATCTGATGCCCTTTTCTGGCCTGCAGGTTGTACATGCAAATAGAGCACTCATATGTAAAATAAATAACTTTTAAAAAGAAAGAAAAACAAACAAAAGAAAGAAATAAGAAGGGCTGGTCATGTCACTCAGTAGAAGAGTGATTGCTTCTCATGTGGGATGTTTGGAGTCCCAGCACCACAAGAGAAAAAATACAGTATTATATACTTTTTAGCAAAGGACATGGTTATTTTGTTTTTTAAGGCAGGATGTCCAGTATCCCAGGCTGGCCTTGAACTTGCTAAGTAGCCATGGATGATCTTCAATCTCTGTCAGCTGCCGGGATTAAAAGTGTAGGAGGACACACTCAGTTTTAAGCAGGATCAAATCCAGGCCTTCATGCCTACTAGGCGAACACTCTACCAACCAAACCACGTCCCCAGCTCTGCAAAGAAAAGCGTGTCAGAGCACTACAGTGTGGAAGTACGCACCTCAGGCAACTGCAGGCCGAATTCTTGGCTCAGGGGATCCTTCCTCCACTGCCTGCTAGTTCAGTGCATGAGAGACCTTGGGCCTGTTACCTAACTTCCTTATCAACTTCCTTATCTATAAAATGGAGTGAACGATAATACCCCTCCCCCCGTAGAGGTGCGTTGTGCTTAGCAGCGTGTCTAGTATACTAAAACAACTCCCAATCCCTTTAGGGGGCGATGGTGCAATTTTTACTAAGGTTACTACACTACGTCAGGTTCACCGACCTCTTTCTTACAAGCAAGCCTGTGCCAGAGGCTTTGTGGCTTCTACGTCTAGCCTCCCTGGCAATCTGCAGCTAAGGATGGGGAGCTGCATTGGTCAAGAGAGAGGTGATCGTGAAGCGTTTGACTAAAAGTAGTGACTGCTCACTGTTGGCGCCACAAGCGAGAAATGGGAGAAAACGACAAAGGCCAGGGCCTATCTGTGACAGCGGTGTATCAGGGGAACCAGGAATATCAGACACAGAATGGGTTATCAGGCATCGTCGGGACCTCAACACAGCTGGTGATGGGGTGGGGAGATGGTTCATCAGGTAAGAGCACCGGCTGCTCTTCCAACAGGACCCAGGTTCAAGTCCAGCATGCACATGGCAGCTCACAACCCTCACTAATTCCTATGCCAGAGGACCTGATGTCCACTTTTGCCCTCTAAGGGCAATGTGCCCGTGTGTACACATGCAGGCAAAACACCCATATACAGAACAAATACTTTTTTAAAAAAGTGATGACGGGGGCAGAGGGAGGCCATAGGGATGGTTCCATAACAGCACTCACTCCCCTTGCAGAGGACTCAGGTCTGGATCCCAGCACCCACTTGGTGGCACACAAATGCCTGTGCGAGAGAAAGGGAGGGGGAGAGGAGAGGAGGAAGAGAGGGAAAGAGGAGGAGGGGGAAGAGGAAGGCAGTGATGGTTCAGAGCTGCAACTCACGTTGCTAAAGCTTTGGGCGGCCTTAGCATAGTTCCCACACAGATACAGCCTCTCCCCCTCCGCCATGTAAGAGGGAAAGGTGCTTCGCAAGGTTTCCGTTTCGCCGTCGGTCATGGCCACCGCACTTTTCTGAGATTCTGAAGCGGATCCAGAAAGGGAAAGTGGATGAAGAACCTCTGCCTGGTTAGTAGCCGCCTGGTCTCTTAGCAACCCGGAGACATAGCCTGACTTCCGGCCCCTCCCCTCCCCCGGGCGGAGTTAGGATACCGGGTGAGCCTGCCTAGTGTGCTCATGCGCCTGGGCGGTCACGCCGTGCACGCCAGCCGGGCAGAAAGTGGTGAGCGCGTGGCCGGCGGCTGTAGGGCGGTGGCGCTCCTGGGTGACCGCAGGTTGCTTTTCTCCCCAGTTGCCACGTGGAAAGCCTCTCGGGCAAGGCGGCCAAGAAAATGAGAATTGGAGGCAAAATTCCAAGTAGGGATAAGGCTCCAGAAGGTCCCATCAGAAAGGAGAGAGAATTTTGAACTTGGAGACTAGAGTGCTTGGGCAGTCTTTACTCCTGTCACTTCCTAGCCGCGTGATTCTGGACCTAGCACAGTAGGGAACTGGAAAGTACGCGTTCCACCTGCCAAATGAACATGCAAATAATAGGGCCTTCAGGGACGTAAGGATTTGCACGAGGCTGCAATGGGAAGTGGGATATAGGTTTAGCTTTCAATTTCACCCAAGTCTAAACCAACGTCTAGCCTGATACCCTTCCCTTGCCATTCAGAACCACCGAAGCAAACAGATAACTAAAGTGGACTAATGGTTGCGGAGGTAGCTCAGTTGGAAAAGTGCCTGCCAAGCACCAGGCTCCACTTCGATCCCCAAGATCCAGTCCAGACCCGTAGGGTGTCACGATTTTGTCATACCCAGCACTAGAGATGGAAACAGATGTATTCCTGAGGTGTCCTCTGCCATTCACAGTCACGCGTGCACAAGCACAGCCATGTTCACACGTGTTAAAAAAGTACTAACTCGGGGACTGGAGCGATGGCTCAGAGCTTAAGAGCACTGGGTTCTCTTCCAGAGGTCCTGAGTTTAATTCCCAGCAACCACATGGTGGCTCAAAACCATCTATAATGAGATCTGGTGCCCTCTTCTGGCAGACAGAAACATTGTATACATAATAAAAGTACTAACTCCAAGTTCCCGTAATACTTTGAATAACTAGCTCAATTAACTGCCTCAATCACACTGTCTTAAAAAAAAAATAAATAAATAAAAGGTCTATTCCTCAAAGTGATTGTGGCTTAATCAGGAACTTTGCTGTTGTTTTGTCTTGTTTTTAATTTGGACATTTCTTTCTCTCTCTCTCTCTCTCTTATTAGATTTGCTCATTTTATTTTATATGTGAAGGCTTTGGCTGGATGTACATATGTATACCATATTCATGCTTGCTGTTGGTGGAGGTCAGAAGAGGATAACAGATCCCCTGAAACTGGAGTTACACATAGTTTTGAGTCACCATTTGGTTAGCAGGAGTCGAACCTGGGTCTTCTGAAAGAGGAGCCAATGCTCTTAACCACTGAGCCATCTCTCCAGCCCAGAATCTTGTCTTAAACCGTGTTTACAGAATTCAGCCGGCCAGGTGTGGTGGCCCATGAGCCGAAGTAGCACAGGGGAGTGTCTGTTTCAAGCTACCATAATTGATTACATGCAAACAATTGGAAAGATTTGGTAAAATCAAAGAATTCCCTTGTTGGCTTGCTGTAGATTTTTGAAGTTTTTCAAGATTATCATTGGGGTGAATGGTAAAGAATACCTAACCCATCAATGGTGGTGCACGCCGACAGTCCAGTCTGAGGAAAGAGGGATTGGCTGGAGCTCCAGGATAGCCAGGGCTCCTTAGCAAGACTTTATACCAAAAATAAAACCAGGCGAACAAAAGAACACACACAATTTCTTTATATCAGTTCTTAGAACTGCATACTAACACACAGTTTGGTTTAGAAGATGGCTCTCTTTCCAGGGGCTGGAGAGACGGCTCAGTGATGAAGTGATGTCCTGCTCTTGTAGCGGATCAGTGTTTGGTTCCCGGCACCCTTATCTGGTAGCTCACAGTCACCTGTAACTCCAGCCCCAGTGAGGTCTGATGCCACTGGCCTCCAAGGACATCTGCACTTGAATTTCAAAGTCTTCAAAAGCCCAGAGAAAGTAAAGCTGCTCTCTCCTGGAGCTATTTGTTACTTAGCAATGTGATGCTGTGTGTGAGAGAGAGAGAGAGAGAAAGTGAGAGAGAGTCCTGTACTAAAACATATATAGAAGCTTTACTTGTAATTGGCACAAACCAGAAATATTTCTATGCTATGAGAATGGATAAAAAAAACTGAGGTTTGTCCTACAATGGACTACTACTTAGCATGAAAAAAAAATGCTCTGACACATGTTTAATATAAATGAATCTTCAAAGTAAAAAAAAAAAAAAAAAGATTGCACGAGCTGTATATTGTAGCACTCTACTGTAAAGCCAGCAGTTGGAAGGCTGAGGCAGAAAAGCTGATAGTTTGAGTCTAGCCCGGGCTATAATGGAAGATCTCTTTATAAAGTCCTAGCAAATGCTAGGACTTTTCTGAATGCAAAGTAGGGGTTGCCTAAGAATATGGTGGTGATAGACACGGGAAGGGTAGGTTACAAAGAAGTATTTAGGGAATGATGTTTGGAGATGAAAATTATGCACGTAGCCCGGTGGGGCAAATGGGTTGCTGGGTCTTCACTCGTGGTAAAAGTCACCAGATTACACAAATGACATCTGCGAGGTGCAGTCTGGGTTTTATTTTCTTGTCAACCCCCATCCCCGCTTTTTCAATGCTAGCGTTTGAACTTAGGGCCACGTGCACGCTCTGAAGTACCCAGCCATTAAACCGTCTGCTCCTAGTCCCGTTTTTTACCTTTTGTTTTATTCATTGGTTGATGAGTGAGTGAGGGTATCATATGTACCAGTCTGCTCTTGAATTCCTTGTGTATCTGAGGATGGCCTTAAACTTCTCATCCTGGTTCCTGCCTTTGGAAGGCTGGGATGATGGTGTGGGCTGCCACACCAGGTTTACGTGTTGTCGGAGATTTTGGGCTTGCTGGGCAAGCAGTCTATTCACTGGGGAACAGCCTTTTACTTCCTGTTTTGGGGGACAGGGTGCTAAATTTCCCCAGGCTAGCCTTGTAACTCTTTGCTCCAGGTGGGCTTTGAGCTGGCAAATCCTCTGCCTCCACCTCCTGAGTAGCTTGGATTACTCTCTCACCAGCTTCAGCTCTGGTGTGCGGTTTACCGCGCATTAATTGCATCTCAATGAAGCTGTTATATTGTGTGTGTATAAGAAGCCAGGAAAAGAGCATCAGAAGGCCTAGAATTGAAGTTACAGACAGTTGTGGGTGCTGGGAATTGAACTCAGGGCCTCTGGAAGAGCAGCCAGTGTTCTTAACCTCTGAGCCATTTCTCCAGCCAGGAATGAACAGCTTTACCTGTTACATTCACTATTGTTGAGATTTTTTTTTTTTTTTAAATATTGAGGAGAGTTTTATTAGAGCCTCAAAGAAAAACCCCAGGGCAGGCAACTGTAAATATGAGCAGCCGCCAGGAGAAGGGAGACAGAAGAAAAAGAGAAAAAGCCATGTACGCCCTCTGAATTCGGCCAGCATGGAGGTCAGCAACACAATACAGCTACGTGTCGGAGAGAGGAACATGGTGGCATCGCCTTTAATCCCAGTACGGAGGAGGCAGAGGCAGGAGGATCTCTTGTTAGTTTGAGGCCAGCCTGGTCTACAGAGAGAGCTCTCGGGCACACAGATCTAGAAAGAGAAACCCTGTCTCAACAAGAAAGAAAGAAAAAGACAGGAGAGAAGAAGAAAGGAAAGTTTTGTCTTTCTGTCTTAGAAAGGCAGTCAGGGCAGATCCTGAACAGCCTTACGGTGCCATTTCTTTGGTTTTTGAAACAGGACTTGTCTAGGGAGCCCAAGGTATCTTTGAATTCATAGTCCCTCTGCCTAAATTTCCCGAGTACTGGCATCACAGGCATGTGCTGTCATGCCTCCAGTGTTGCTGGTTCTTAATTCGTTTTTCCTAATGAGTAGAGATGTTGAGCATCCTCTCCTGTGCTAATTAGCATCCTCTGTAGACCTTCCCTACACAAGTAAATAGTCTCATCTTTCAGTCATTTCTTTGTTGTTGTTGTTGTTGGGTTTTCGAGACAGGGTTTCTATGTGTAGCCTTGGCTGTCCTGGACTCACTAGGCTAGCCTCAAACTCACTGTCTGCTTTCCCAAGTGCTGGGATTATCTGTCTGTGCCTGTGTGGCTATCTCTCTCTTTCTCTTTTAGTGGAGGCTGGTGCATTAAGACAGGATTTTACACTGTAGTCTAGACCGGCCTGGAATTCAAGGCAAGCCTTCTGCCTCAAGTCTCCTGAGTGCTGGAAGAACAGACAAGAAACAGAACCTTATTTTCCAGGGTCCTCTGCTCCCCACTCTGCTTTTGAGGGTCAGCCATGTTGGGACACACAGCTGCAGGCAATTTATTTTGCTTGCTATAACCCATCCATCTGCCCCTTGCGGAGGAATAGCTGGTTCTTTTCCGTTTGAGAGTCAGATTCAGATTGTGCTGTAGGGACACCTTCAGGAGTGTTTCCTGGCACACGGGTGTATGAGAGTCTCAAGAATGTGTACTAGGAGTGAGCCCACAGAGCCTTTCGGGTTGTGACTTTTCAAGTTGTTTCCAAGGATAACAGATTCCAAAAGAGTTGCTCAAACCACCCTCCTTCTGCAGTAAGGCCACTTCCTAGCGCCTCAGTTTCTCCCATGTATTCTTTGAAAATTAAGAGTTTAGATCGTTGGGTTTTTTTCTTTTCTTTTTTATCTTCCCTCCCTTCCTTTTTCTTGCTTGTATGTGTATACGTGTTCATTTACATGCATGTGTGTGTGTGTTCAGGCTAGAGGAGTATGTTGGGTATTATAGCTCTATCACTTTAGTCCCTTGAGACAGGGTGTCTCGCTAGATCTGGAGCCATGCTGGCAGCAAGCAAGCCCACGTGATCTTGTCTCTGCCCACCCATGCCAGGGTTAAAGATACACGTGGTCACACCCAGCTTTTTATGTGGGTGCCGGGGGTTCGAGTTCTGGCCTCATGCTTACACCACAAGTGCT